AAATATTTTTAGGATTTCCTATTTATTATCCTCGAAATATTTTTCTCACTCTTTGCAATCCATGCAAAAAATAATAATAATAAGTTATTAAGGTTATATGATACCTTTTAAATCATATTTTAATCAATACTTTTAATTCTTTTAAGTGTACTTTGTATCACATCAAAATTATTTGTAACTTGATTGGATACACTCCTTCATCACACAGGCTGTGTATTAATAATTGCCATACAAACTGTGGTAGGATCACATCTCAATAGCTGTGTAGGGAACCATCATTATCAAGACAATGCATCAAAAATAAAGACGAAATTGTCACATTATTCTTGCACATACACAAATGGCCCATGTTTAGTTTATCTTCATCAACCTAAACCTAACATGCAAGCATGGAGTCCTGTGGCCCACTGGTTAAATGCAACACACGCGCATTATTACCTAAAGGCTACAAGTGATTAAAAAGGACAAACCCCATTCTTTCTTTTCTTTCCGTTTTCAGTTATTCTTGTTGTTTACCTCCAAGTTCTAAGTATCACATGTTTTTTTTTTTCTTTTTTTTTTTTGTGCCAAAAGATTAGATGCTATTGTTCTCAGTATCATATATACTTCTTTCAGTAAAAATTTTATTTAGGAGTTTTTTTTTTAAGACCCCAAATTTCGTGGATCTTGCTTTTTTCAACCTAACCACCAAACTCAAAAAAAAAAAAAAAAAAAAAGGAAAGAAGAAGTTACAAAAGATTAAATAAAAGAGTGGCCAATTTGTTGTCCGATAGAAGTATCTCGAAACTCAAAATTTTTATTTTATTTTTATGAAATATTCGTCTAGTAATTTTTAAGTAGACCCAAAGTTTAGATTGAAAAAACAGTTTTACGCTAGGGAATAAGTGTACAATGTGCTCCCATAGGAGTTTTGGGTTGAACCTTCTTGATGGAGTAAACATGGAGATGAAAGGGGAAGCTGATAAGGGTAAGTAAACTATCTCATCCATGTAAGAGGGGATGCCTCCCACTTGTTTCTGATGTGTGTTAGTGTGTTAGGAGACATACTCATTGAGATACTATCCATTTTGTTTGGCAATAAAAGAAGGGGGACCATTTATCCAACTACTCATATTGGACCCATCTCATCCTTTTCTCAATGGTGGTGGTGGTGGTTGCAAATGGGAAAGGAACATACATAACAAAACCAAAAAAACAAAAAAAACAAAAAAATGCTGGAATTATTATGAAGTTTGGTGACTTTATAAGAAAAATTCCGATCATTAGAGAGTATAGAAAAGAAATAATGATTTAATAGATTTTTGGCTAAGTTTCCTTATTTTGGGTAAAAAAAAATGAATTTGATGGTCATTATCATCTGATCCATTTTCAAGATAGATGCCACCATAAAAGTGACACACCGATAATAACATGGATTGTATACTTATCCATAATGAATAATGGCGAGTGTTCAAGAAAACATGAAATCCCTCTGATTTAGAGCTTGGGATATCTTTAAAAAAAACCTAAAAAAATAAAATATAAAATAGTAATTATGGCAAAAAACACTCACCAGTTTTTGCCCAATAGACATCGAAATCATGTAAAAAAAAATTGTATACATATCCTTATTTTTTACTTTTTTTTTTTTTAGATGTTTTTTTAAATGCCCCGAGTTGTCCGAGTTGTACACACAACTCGGGGGGTACTGGGCTGAGTCCCGACACACTGATCCTCCTACTGGACCGCCAACCTATGGCCTCGGCAGTCTGGTCAAATGGCAAAGCAATTGATAACCTATTGCAATTGGGAGCCCAAATTGCAATTGATCCCAATTCTAATTTAAAAACGAAATAAGGCTTATAGAGTCAATTTTTAAATTTAATCCAAATCACATTTTAGCTGCAGTGTGGCTGGAAACCAAACTTACCCTTAATGCATGCAACATTTTGCAATTCGGTCCCAAATGCCAATTGATTCTCAATAATAATCTAAAAATCAAACAAATGCATGTAGGTCCCCGCAACATAAAACTTATATATTTCCCCAACTTATATATTTACCCTTATCCAACTGTCCATTCTGAATGGAGGGTTAAGATTGCCCTAATCATAATGTCCCGTCTCTACACTATTTTACTTTAAATTTTTTTTCTACAGACTATTTTAACACCAATTTTTATACATCCAATCCTTTATTAAACTTGCACTAGCGAAAAATATCAAAAAGAAATAATATTTCCAATAATATAAAATGACCAAAATACCCTTTCAAAGTTTCAAGGGGTATTTTGGTCATTATATTTTATCGAAAAATTATTTTTAATATGTTTTTATAGGTGCTCCCCAATGAAAAGATGTCACATACCAAATTTCATATTCATACAATTTTTATAAAAAAAATAAAAATAAAATATTTTGAGATGTCAGATCTAAGATCAAACGGTGAGTGGCTCTCATAATCAAAATTGAACGGCTGGATAGTAGGAGAAGCATAGATCTTCTATGCTGTAGGAAAAATATAGAAACCTTTTCCTTAAGTTATATAATTTAACATAAATCACAAGTTAGATGTAGCGTAGCTGGAAATAAAAGAGGCTTTTAATGTTTGTACATTCTCGTTGTTTGGAATGCCATGTGGGGCTAGAGATTAGTACAATAAAGTACATGTTACAAAGGCATGATTGGAGGGAAAGATGGAAAAAAAAATCCATGAGCCTCTGGGGACAAAGGACAATAATGTAACCTGGCTTCTATTCATTTAAGGAAATTTATCAAGATAAACCTTAGAGTTTTTTATTATTTAACATTTTATCCATATCTTTTCATTTAATAAAAAAATTCCATCCAAATGCACATGATCATGAGATGGGATAGTTGAAAATAGTAAATAGTAAAATAATTGAAAAAATTTTCATTCATCTAACAGGGGAGCCTGAAATCAAGGGTCCCCCCCTAATCTATTTAGAGACAAGCCTTACTACTGATTTTTACACCTCAATTTCCCTTTCTGCACCCATGTTTTGGCATTATTTCAGTTTTGTCCCATAAAAGGGGTAGAAAAAAATAAAAATAAAAAGCACCCAAAAACTACCGAGTGTCAGGCTTTAAATGAACCTCAACCCACAAGTTAAAAATTTATTAATGTTAAAATAGTAAACCAACTTCTACGTGGAGTTTTGGTAAGATCAAAATGCAAAGACAAATAAATAATTAGTAGAGAGAGAGAGAGAGGGACAACAGATAGCATAGAACAACTTGGGAGTAACTTTGGAAAAAAATTTGAATAGTTCCACTCTCATCAGTTCCCAATTTAGTCTTTAGATAAAGAAAAAAATTTTATAACGTTGCGGCTTTAAACAATCAAACGCACACCTCAAAAATTCACTTAAAAAATTGTTTCGCTAAAAAACCTTCAAAACCAATCATCTCAACCTTGAGTTACATGAACTTGGAAAAAAACTAACTTCAAATTTTAGAAATAGTGCATCCTATAATGCATTATTACCTAGACCATCAATTTTCAAGATTTTCAAGAGTTCATAGATCTGCTTGATCTACACTATTTTTAAAGCTTTAAATCTTATAATTAGTTATTAAAATAAATTTTCAAGTCATCACAAAGATTTATGACATTGAAACGACATCTTTCAACAATATTTGAAACTGTGCCTCACTTTGATCATTTAGGGCCTCACCCTCATACAAACCACACCCTCAGATAAAAAACTGACTTCAACTTGTGAAGTTTTTCACATTCTGAAATTTTGAGATACACTATAGAATGACTGATAAATACTCAAAAAGAAAAATGATTTCAAGTTTCACTTAGATCTGAAGTTTCTAAATACTTAGATCTGACTATCTAAAATTTAGACGGTCTTGATTCAATCTTAGACCGTTATTTTTTAAGTACAGGGTGTGTGTGTGTGTTTTTTATTTTAGAGTTGCTTGTCGCTAGGTTGGGGAGGTTCCATCCCAAAAATATGAGTCCCAAACTACTCGTAAATAGGATTTTGAGGAATAAATACACAAGATGCTCCGGCAGGAGCATATAATCTTTTGGCTAAAATTTTATGCTTCTCAGGTTTAAGGCCCTAGTCGTATCAATTCAAGAGCTAATCCCTCACCTCCCTCAAATCTTAAATAAGTTTTACTGAAACCATGCCCAAAACGATAGAGTTCTTTCCTTTTAAAAGTTCAAGGGGTACCAAGAGTAAAAGATATATTCACCAGAGCCATTCCCCTTTCTCTATCCTAATCTCCCTATCTCCTATTCATTTATTTCTCAATTTGTCAGGGTTAAGGAAGACTGATGACAACATCAACTACTAGGGCATTGAAATGTGTTAGAGAGAGAGAGGACACCAAGAACTAGGGCATTGATAGTGTGTATGTGGGTGTCTATGTGTGTGCGAGAGCGAGAGAGAGATTTGCAATGAGAAGTGCTGCAATCATCCTAAAAAGGATAAACTCCCCAAAATATTCTCACATGACTTTGGATGTGCTTTTCATGGCTGCCACTCACCATAGGCTCCTTCAAAAACATGGGCCTGTTCACAACTGCGTATTAAACCACTACTATATCTACCTCAAATGCATACATCCTATGGCAAGAAATCATCGTGAGCTTCAGAAAAGAGACCGGTGATTCATAGTGCCATCATCAACACCATTCTTCAAGTCTCTTAATACATCTAAGGCCTATGGAGCACCCTACTTGTATCATGGGACAAATTTTGGGGACAGAGTTTCTCACAACTTACAGCCTTGTTTTAAGATGTTACATGGGAATATTACATGGTTCCAGGTGGATCGATTCTAAGATGTTACGATGGATTAGGAGCCTTGGATCCTTGTGCTACTTCACTTTAGCTTTTCTAATTCAATTCAAGCTTAGCTACCCGAAACACGAATAACAGCCCAAAACATTGAACCGACAATTAACATGGCTGACTTAATTGAATAGAACTATGTATGTGTCCCTAGAGGTGTGGGTGTGTGCGGAAAGAAGGGGGAGGAAGAAGAGAAAGAGATTTGGAATTTGCATTAAATCACTCATAAATTCACTGTCTGGAGGTTTCTCCATGTTCTCGAGCAAGAGATGCTGAAAGGACACTGAGGTCGCGATTAAAGAAAGTGAGGGCAGATTCACATTCTGCAATAATTCTTGTGACCGTAGATTCACGCCTAGGAGCATCATCAACTGTAGATTCTGATCCAACAGCTACAGCCGCATGTGAATCTCGAAGATTCCGCAGGTTGCACAGGAACTACCATTTTCACGAATATGAGCAAAAGAAAGTTACCTCAAAAGGAACCAAAGAATCATCAATTGTGATAAGAAACGAAGGCGCATCAATTCATGTAGTTGATTGTTTTCTCACTGCTCTTTTGTTATTGCTAGTTCAAGGTTTCTAGGCATAGCTAATAGCTTCTTCAGCAAGGAATGCATTTGGTTCCCTAATATACACACACCAATCATAAATAAAATACCAGTATTACGAGAGACCGTACCTTTAGGAGCATTTTATAGGCCTCCAGTAGACGATTTGCAGCAGGACCAAATCCATGCAACTGTGGAACCTCCATCATGTGTGTCCAAGGACGGATTTCCTACAAAAAGCCATTTAAATGACTTACATCAAATTCCCCTCAAGTATACATTAACTTCAGCGCAGAACGTAAAGCCAAAACCAAGAACACTGTGGATGCTAGAAGTCTTAACAGAGTGGAGAGGCAGCTCAATCATAAGGACCGGGACATTCGGAGAAAATTATGGATGACAAAAGACACCTGGGAGAAATCATTGAAGGAAAAAAATGGTTGGGAAATGAAAATGTTACCTTTGTGTAAATCAAATTAAAGGACCTTGCCGTTTCAAGAAAAGATTCTAACTGCATCCGAAGCTTTAACTCAGCTTCTGCATATTCCTCATCTGGATTGTAAGCATGCTGGATAAAAAGAAAATAAATGTTATTATATAATATATAGAAGAAGAATGCGGAAAACAGCGCCAAATTAATATGCGCATCAATTCAATCAAATATCTTGGCAGGAAATTGATCAACAAAATTATTTCTTCCTTACAATTTGCAGAAATAGTACACTATTGACCTGGAAGATATACAAAAGTATCATATAAATGGTAACGGAAAACACTGCCATGTGCTTTCCAGATGCACAAAATCCCACTTCATGATAAGTTCAATAAAAGGGAGAAGAATGGGATTTCCAAGAAAACATAGAGAGAAAAGGGATTTCCAACATAGAAAGATTTATGTAAGGTGACCAAACTTGAGTGTTGCCCAAGCAAACGACCATCAAATCATGCAGAAGAGCCAGATAGCATTAAATAAACCATCGACAAGGTGCACTAAGGTCATTTTCTCTATGATCAAGTTACTAAGAATGGAAGAATGCCCCCATACTTCCCACGGGCTACATAATAAGAAGTGAGCATATAATGGGAATAGGGAAAACCTTGGAAGCTAACTCCTGTACTGCTTGTTGTAAGCTAGACAGCTGTTTTGAATGTTCAGAGAGCTTTAACTCCAGCTCAGCAATGTCAGGCCTGCACACAAGCTTTGGTTTAAAAAGGAAAAGTTGCACTTATTTTGATCTATGATCTGAATAGACTCAATAATTCATTATAAGGACTTACTTCATTAGAGGAAAGATGCAATGCACACAGTACCTTCTAGGAACAACTCAGGATGTACAGGAGAAAACACAGTGGAATAACATGCAATGCATATAAAAACCATTCAATATACAAAACAGTATGAACACTATATACACCTATCAAGGATAAGTCTTATGCATACATCAAGGTGCACAAAAACAGAGGAGATGCATAGTCACCAAAAAACAAAAAAATATAAAACGATAAGGAATCAGAATCATGAGAGGGTTTTGCTTGCACAATGATTTCATATTCACCTACTTGATAAGAACAGCATGTCTACAATGTGAATATTATGCAGCACAAGGAATAATAAATTTCAGAAAGTCCTACTGAAACATTAATTGGTGAGAGATAGATGCACAATTGTCCATTGTAGAGTACATAAATGTATTAGGGAAAGTTCTGCAAGTAGAGACACACACAACATACATATACATGTGTACTTACAAATATCCATACATGTGTATGTGTGTTTGAGAGCATGAAGTGGTGGATTCCCAATTCATGCGGATTACCAAAAAATTTTGAGCACGTGTTGGCAGATGATTACCATAAAGTTAATGACATCATTTATTTTATATCCAGCTAATCTCAATATTAGAACCCGAAAGTGTCTAAATCAATTATCAAAATAGGTCCATGCGATGTGGCATCTGTGACTTCAAATAATAATGTAGGTATGGCTGTAATTGTCATGCAGAAAATATTGGTTCGGTAAAAATTTCAGATCATTCTGATGTGTGCTGGAGGTAATCAAAGATTCACTATTGGCCGACAAATTCTGGCAAGTTTCACTCGTAACTCATCACACATACAAATTCTTGCAAGCTTCACTCGTAACACATCACACTTGCACAGTTGCACTCCATGTACTCATCCAAATCATCTAAGACACAGGTCAAAATCTAAAATTCCAGAACAATCAGTATTGAATTCTTTGAGAACTGAACAATTTTGGAAAATTTGACCAATGGAAAATTTTTTTTTGTCGGCTCCAGTTTAACGAGAATGAACAATACATATTCTCTTATAAGGTACAGTCCCCAATGCAAATACATTTGAGGCTCAATTTCTACTCAAGTCAATAGAAGAGAACTTAGCAGAAATTCCTTTAAATTACTTCATCACGTTTTTTTTTGAAGTGTCCAAATTATTGAACTTTACAGGGAATTCTAAAAATTAAACTCCGGGCTATAGGCCATCATAAGAAAGCAAAAAATTTCGTAGTGTAATGTATCAAAAAGATTACATATCAAGATTGATATAAATTCTCTAAAGAGCAATAACATTTTTTTTTTTGAAAGTCTAAAAGGATAGTGACTAACAAAAATCAATAAAGAATATCGAATGATCCAATATAAAGGCAAAATATCATTTTATAGATGCAAGGACATAAAAATAAAACTTTCTTGTGAACATAAAGAGCGCAATTGAAAATAGTGATTATGTAGCAACTCCATTTATCCAGACTTTTGATATTACGTTCATCTATGTAATATCTCAATTATCCTTTCATAGACAAAAAAATTAATGATGTAGAATAGAGAAACATAACATGCCACATTCTCCTAGGCACCAGTGTCTTCACTAAGTGGTTGGGATGCTTGGGCCACGACACATAATCCAAGGTCTAATTCCCAGTAAACACCAAAATAAAAAATGAAAAACAGAAATTCTTAAATCATACAAGTCAGACTAGATTCAGGTCCTCATATAGTTTCACATAGAAGATCTTCAGCAAATAAAATGGAATAAAGTACATGTCTAAAGATCCACGATATTCGTGCTATCCTGGTTGTTCATTCTTTAGTCACAATCTGGTCTAGATACATCTCAACTCTAACCTCAATTTCAAGAGAGACTGGGAAAGATACACTTACAGAGGAAATATGGATTGAATCTGCACATCTGCAGGGAATAGCTTGCATTCTTCCGAAAATATTTGAGCTTGCTTCTCAGCGATAGAATCTAATAGTTGTATGTCCTTCGCCACCTGTTCATCGACACTGGGGGGCAAACCAAAATTCAAGTCAAACGTCAAACATAATAATATAAGCCAAAGCATTTAAAAATATGAAATGTGAATCAACTGGAAAATAACCATTCACATAATTATAATCACTTTCTTGAGCTTTATCACAAAGCAAGTTGATCACAACCATCAAATGAAAAATATAACGAAGGAAATGTAACTTAACCTCCACTCTGGATGGTCTGAAGTGAAGCTTGCCTCCACAAGGTCTACGATATTACGTAGCATTTCAGCACGATCTTCATAACTACCCCTTCCCTATAAATCATGCACACCATCAATAATCCATCAGGTAAGTCTCATAACCCCAATTCAGAAGATTGAGCCGATCACAATACCCTTGAGGTTGTTCACACCACTCTACAATAGCGCATAAGAAAACAAGCATATATTAGTTCTTGAAATTTTTGGAATGCCAACTACCGCTGAGATTTGAGAGTTTGTATGCTTCTTTTGACTTAAAATTTACTTAATTAGGTTATTTTCAGTAAAGCATAAGGATGCAATTCATCGGACCATGGAAAGGTAAGAGATAATTCACTCTGGGAAGCCATAGTCACTTGGGGATGTCACTGCCCAATGAAATGATGGCTGGCAAGGTAACACCGTAGGGCCCAATATTGAGGAACCTATTCCGGTGGGTTAACCTGCCATCGCATTTTATCATTTCCTTGGATGGCTGCAAATCCGTGAACTACGATGGTCTTCCATAGTTCATTGCATTAGAGTATACTTTCTCATCCAGCCAATGTTTTAAAACAAGGAATCGCTCCAAGACTCGGCGAGTGCCCAGAGCAAGTCTTCTTGGCAAGTCCCAAGTTGACTAGAGGAGGCTTGTCCAAGTCCAAGAACAACATTTAAACAATCCCGAAAAGAGGGAAAATCATTAGCACTTTCTGAAAGTTTATATCCACAATGAAGAACGAGGAAAATTAGATTTTTTATTGGACTTTGGATCTAGTGAATCCAAAGCTCTCAAAATTTTCAGCCAAACCCCATTTCAATATTCCAAATCTCACAAATTAGAGATTTTGAGGGTTGTTTTCTTGAATTTCTAGGTTTGGATTTGAAAGAGGACACAAAAATAGGCCTAGGGACAAACTTTTACGGTGCCTGGAGCTAGGGTTGCTTCAAACAAGAAAGAAAGGTGAGTCGACCAAACCCAATTTCGATATTTCGAATCTCTCAAGTCCAAGAATATGATTGTTTTACTTTTCGTTGCATTGCATCCAAGGTTTGGATCTGATAGAAGATACAAACTGGCTAAGGGACAATTTCTAAGGTTCCTTGGAGCTAGGGTTTAGAAAAAAGCAATGAGGAATGGATATCCACCACACTTCTAATTTATACAAAAGTGTCAGCACGGCAGGACTCACCCTAGTTCCCTGGCCTTGCCTGAGCCCAACAAAATCTCGCCTGAATTACTGTAGCAACTAGGATGAGTTGGACTACAGTAGGGGCCTCAACTAGTTGAGAACCCCCCAAATTCAGCAGAGTGCCAGATCACAGTAACTCACCTGAGTCCGAGTCTGAGTCAGACTCGGTGAGTTTTAAAAAAATGCATTTGGCCATCCCATATCTTCATCCTATGCTAAAAAATTACTTAACCAAGCAAATGCAATCTTTGTGACACAGTGCACAAATTCTCTGTTTTCAAATGGCATTTGGAGTACAAATGTCAGACAAATAATGATAGGAATGCAATGATCATGTAAGAATGGTTATATAATGAACAGGTGCCAAGTTTAAGGAAATGACACTTGTGCCATCCAATAATCAGGAATAAAGATACAAACAACACTAAATGTTCGACGCTTAACATAGTAAACAAAATGCCAACATTATTCTTGTACAAACATATACATCTGGGGTAGGTCTGTGAGAGTGGGTGCAATCAAAGAGAGTTATAAAAGAAATATGTTCTACAAAAAGTAGAAATTACACAAAATTACTTATCTCCAATATCAGTGGAAGGTCATGGCAAACATTACTAATGAAGCACAACACAGAATGTGTAGACATACTTGGATAGCTTCTGTGTCAATTGTTGGTGTGATACCCAAGAAGTTTGCTATCTCTGCCAAATCTGGGTTCCAACAAAACAATACAAAAATCAATAAAGAAAAAACAACACAATTACAAAAACCCGCAATTGACATACAATTAAAGCATTCACTTAATTCAATTCCTACCATAATAAGAACGGGAGAAAAAAGTTAGTTAACCAAAAAGAAGAATAAATTTTTTGGCCAACATAAATGCTAGAAAAATTCAAACCACTAAAGCCAAAACGAAAGAGAAAGTCTAGGAGCCAAACATAATTTTATAGGGATTGTCTACAAAGAGACCATTTATCTTTTGTATAAGGAGGTCACAATCATTCCTACTCATTAGATGTCAAATTGGATGGCTTGGGGTGAGTCACGAAGTCTGAGAAATTGTTTTTTAGAACTTTGTGTCTATTCCATGATACTCTTACAACCACCTATTTTGAAATTTAAGGGACAAGAATAATTGTGACCTATATTCAAAAGATTATAAAATAATTCAAACACTCACCAATCTTTGCCAAATTCATCCAATTCATATTTAAAAAGATTATAAAACAATTCAACATTTTTTAAAAACATTTTATTTGAAATTTCGTTTAAAACCCCGAGCTGTACACGCAACTCACGGAAACTCAACCTCGCCCATAGGGCGATGCTGGGTTACTCAGCCAGAGTTCGAGTCGACTCGGGAAAGTCACGGTACATTGTTTCTAAAATATGCTAATATTGGTCTTCACCTAGAAACAATTGAAAGCTTGACCATCCTGAAATAATTATGAAAATCAAATTCAGATGAATTTGATATGAATCAATAGAAGGAAATCATACATTGTATACGTGAAGTTTCTTCATCATTTACCATTCCATCAGCTTGTAAGTTTTGTTGAGTGAATGGTGGTTTATCCCCTAAAAGCCTGCAAAAACCAAGCTTAAGATATGGTCTCTTCCAAATTAAAATAAATGGTTCAAGGGAGAATGTTGAAATTTAGAGAAGGAGAAACAATTTCAAGCAGAGCAATTAACATATCACTTTGAAAGTCTCTTAAATATACAGTCATTCTATGACTCAAATATACTAGAGAATCCTTTTGTTGATTACATCAATCCCAACTTCTATTTTTTTGTCCAATGAACAAATGGTCAGTCTAGTTTCAATAGACACGGGTTAATAAATTATCAATTGCAGGTGTTGTCTTAAACAGTAGATCAGGAATCACCTTGATGATAATTGAACTCATTGATAGCAACCCCAGAAATAAAAACATTGATGTACTAAATAGGTTTAGAATTTTCACATCTTTTTCCATAAGTAGATAGCTTCTAAAGCTATCAGTTCAGTGAACAATTGGGTAGATAGAAAGAAAGAAAGAAAGATAGATAGATAGATAGATAGATAGAGAGAGAGAGAGAGAGAGAGAGAGAGAGAGACATGATTCATATACATAGAAAACAAAAATTGGGTATTAGGAAATTCAAAAGAATAGGGACTAGAGAATCCAGAAAATTGAAAGAGAATCCTAGAAAAGAAATGTGATCAAATGAAAAGAGCCTATGAGAGGGACAAATAATACCTGAAAAAGAGCCATTCTAAAAGGCCATATCTCTCCATTCCTGCAAATAAAAGCGACTGAGCAGGTACATTTGCCCTTGGGTAGTTAAGGGCAGCCAGTTTTAGCTGGATCTCCTCCATTGGCTTCGCCATCCTAGAGAGAGAGAGAGAGAGAGAGAGAATAAGTTTGAGGCCCTGGATAGGCAAATCCTGGGTTTCTCTCAAATACTTGGTTTTGTATATTCTAGTATATATAAAAGTTGATTTTGAAAACAATGTTGTTTGGCTGGCTGCTGAAAGAACCCAGCATATGGAGAATACCCTGTTTGGCACCATGAAGATGAGAACCAGGTTTTGGCTATTTGTTGTTAATGCAGTTTAGCCATTCATTATATAAGTTCATGATTCCCAAGTAATACATGGCCAATAAAAAGATTTTTTGGGAATTAGTTATCATTAATATAACAAATAAATTAGACAGTTCCAATCCTATTTTGCGATATTTATATGGGTAGAATTATGATTCTCTCTCTCACTCTCTCTCTCTATCAAAATCAGATTTCAATTCAGTACATATAAACCCAAGCCCATGAAGATATACAATTAAATTTTCTTCGTGCATAAGCCATCATCTGATAGATTAATGTTACCAGAGTCACAAAGTATACAGATATACAATGAAACAAGATGGTGACTCAACAATAATAAAAGCAACCATTCATTATCAATAGGTCTGCAAAACTGAACTTGCACAATATTTTCTTTTGATTGTCAAAGTTACGCACTGGCATCGACTTCTGACCAACAACATTGCATATAGTTCTTTATTTACAACCAATTGCTATCTCTTACAATGAAAGTTCAATGATTCATTATACGATGGAGAATTCACTAGCACCAGATCTCCAAATTGATGCCTAATTGCCTATATATAACTATATAAATGACTAATATAAACATTCAGCTTAATGAACTCATTGAACTCAATCAAAACCTTCAAGACTGGCAGATGCCAATCAATTTACTGCTTTTATGAAGAGGAGCATGAAGAATTGAACAGAGAAATCCTGTATTTTGCTTGAAAACGAATTCCCATTGAATACTCTGAAGAATAAACGCTGTGCACAATAGAATTCAACCAAGTTGGTAAACAAAAGAGCTAGAGCTCCACGAGTCTAAACAGAATTCAATCCAGTATCTGGTAAAGTATTGCAAGCTCCTTTCCCAACACCAATCTAGAGATGACAGAATTTTTACAAAAATTGTGATGTCCATCTGTAAAGAGAACCATATTAAAAACTCCATTACATATCACCATGTACACCTCTGTAAATGAGTGCCACACCATTGGTTCATAGTTTATACTATAGCCAAAATTTAAACTTCATCTAACAAAAATAAGTATTAAAATGATGAGAACTGTAATGAACAAAGAATCAAAGAGCAAGCGTATAAATCAAATGGAGCTAAAATCACAGGAAACCTTTATTCTTAACCCAAGACAATTTTCAAATGCATAAAGACCAAAAATCGAAAAAAAAAAAAAAAATGGTCAACTAAATTGTACCAAATGCAGAGGCACCTTTTTTATCACTACTTATAGTGCCGGAAAACCACCCAATTTGAAGACGTCGATATGAACTCAAAACCAACATATTTAAGTTAAAAAAATTAAAATAGAAATGTTCAAAGTATTTCTTCTGTATTGATCAAAAAAATGAAAATTTTGAAGAAATTAGAAAAACACTAATGAAGAATGGATAAGGAAAGCTCAAGAGAGAGTTGATCCAGCAGAAATTCCATAAAAGAAACACCAGTAATAATCCTTAACACCAGCTAAGAAACACCACTTGAATATAACAATAATTTTTTTCAACCATAACCAGGTATAACCATTTAAAGAAACACCAGCAAAGTACCAGAGAAATCACGAGCAGGGCACTCCAAAGTAAACAACCGATGTCATAATGATAGCTTAAACTCTAAAATATCAGCCGCTTCCACAAATACAAGAACGTATCGTTGGATTCAGAAAATCAGAGATTTCATAGATAAATAATCTCAAATAGCTGATTTAACAGAAAATCCCCAAAAAAGTCTAACTAAGAAGCCACAAATCACACGGTTGCTACAAAAAAAAACCACAAATCACATAAATTGGGCAAAAAAACAGGTATTGACAAATAATTTTCAAACATCATGCGGAAAATCTCATTAAATCTTAGAGATTGAAGAACCCACAAAACCCTTGCAAGTTAAACAGGTTTACAGAACAAAAAGTCACGAAGTAGCATATTTTTCCATTTTAGGGAACGAAATTTTTCAAGATCCTCAGAAACCATACCTGGAGCACTCGTTTTAATGGCTGAAGGGAGGTTGGCGACTCTAAACAAAACCTAGTAACAACGGAGCTCGAAATGTTGATGATGCTGCGAGCAATGACTTTTGTATTTTTTTGCCTTCTGTTTTTGTGAAAAATGGAGAGGACAAGCTCGCTGCAAAGGGCTTGCAACAGCGGAGAGAGAGCTCTGCACATAGAGAGGGAGGAGAATAATAAGGAAAATTGTTTCATGCGGGCTGGACCGTATTTCTACAATATGCGATCCCAAGGGATAAAGCATCCGTCTCTTGAAGATGGAAGCCATCTTTAATGGGAAATGTTTATATCCTTCCCCAGGAGAAGTTCGATCCTCCCCCCTACCAACCGGCCGTTTAATTTTGATGAGGAGTATGTCAAAGTATTTTATTTTAAATTTTTTTATACAAATTGTATAAATACAAATTTTGGTACGTATCATCTTCTTATTGGGATATACCTATAAAAAAATATTAAAAATAATTTTTTGATAAAATATAATAATCAAAATGCCTCTTGAAATTTTCAAAGGTATTTTGGTTATTTTATTTTATTGAAAATATTTTTTTTATAGTTTTTGTTAGTGCGAGTTTAATAGAGGAATGGACGTCCAAAATTTGATGTCAAAATATTTTATAGAAAAAAAATTAAAAATAAAATAGTGTCAAAATATTTTATAGAAAAAAAATTAAAAATAAAATAGTGTAAAGACGTGACATTGTGATTGGGACAATCTTAACCCTCCATTCAGAATGGATGGTGGGATAAAGAGAAGATAGAACTTCTATGATGTAGGGAAGCATAGAAAGCTTGCCCAGAAGTAATTACGTGGTCCGTCTAAAACCTATTGAAACTAACTATATCCAAAATATTTTTTTCATAAAATTCTTATTTTTATTTTTAAAATTTATTTATTTATTATAATCCTAAAATTTTATTTCATCTCTGACTGTAAAATTAAAGATTAAAAAATAGTGTAGAGCATCTCTAATTATAAAGTTTAAAGATTCAAAAATAGTGTAGATCAAGCAAATCTATGAACTCTTAAAAATTAATGGTCTAGATAATACTTTAGAAGATGCACTATTTCCAGAATTGGAAATCTATTTTCTCTCGTGTTCATACATCCTGAGGTCGATGATCGAATTAAAGGTATTTCAGCATAAAAAAACCTCTTCTAGTGAATTTTTGAAGGTGCGCCCTAATTTGATTGTTTAAGGCCTCATCCATTTATAAACTTTTTCCTTCTTTAAATCTGGTGATAATGTGGGGCTAATTATACTTATGGACTTGGGGGACAATCTAATGAGGGGGACTTTTATGACCTCAAACCTTTGGAATCACCTTTGCATGTCGTTATGATCAAATTCAATAAGAAAGGAAAGAAAATTTGATTTTGAGATTTATTGATTTATTTATATCCTAAATTATATGATGTACTAATTTATGTGATAGATGTAAGTAAGAATTTTTTTTATATTAGGTAATAATTTATTTATGGTAAATAAGAATTTTTATTTCTATTTTTTGTCTATCTTTTTAGATCTTATAATATAGGAGTGTTTTTTGATACAGTATTACTCTATTAAGATGGATAATTTTGAATATTAAAACAAATAAAGTAATATATTATAATTAATTAACTATACATTAATAATGTAAATCTTGTCATTTATTTATTAATTTATATATAATAAATTATGGTCATTTTGTGCCATGCATGTTGCAAGTATTGTGTCCTTCTAGCCTAGCGTGAAATAACTATACTTCTAGTTAGATTTGTCAGTCTTAGTCTTAAGTTATGCATGTTGCAAATCTCATGTCTTGATAGCTTGAGATTGACATGGTAATTGTAGTGAGTTAGGAATTGAGTTGAAAATATGATGCATGTTCATGTATCCGCCTTTCAAATTACTTACATTCATCATTTTTTGGCAAGGTGATCAATAGACAAGTCAAATGGACCGTGAAACATATGGTAATCGTTTTTTCTTTTTTTAAAACTTTATTAAACAATTTATTGCCTTGTATAAGTCTGGAACTCATGTAAACCATGATGATTGTAAGGTGGTCCTTTTTTTCACTAGTTTGAATATAATGGTCAACCCACAGCTAAATAGGGAAACGATGTCTCAATATTCACATATTTTTTAAATAATGAAAGTACATAATGCACCATTCCAATTTTTTTTAAAACACAAAAACACTATTTTTAGGATTTTTAATTATTTTTTTAGTTTATTTTTTTAGGATAAAACCAGTCAATCCAGATTGACTATCCATTGATTTAATCCAGTTTTCAGGGTAACCAATCTAGCCACCAATCAGTTTTTTAAAACCTTGTTATAACAAATGTTTAGTCCATAAATCAAACATTCATATAAACAAGCATCCTAGAAAACTTAGATGGACATTCCAATTTTATTTTACAGCAAGATTTCAAAACCCAAATCCATAGGGTGGATTATCTACCCCAAAAATCCATGTATTGGTGGATTGATGATACAAATTGGCCCGATGATCAATAAAATATTTAAAATAAAATAGGGGTTTATGGGTTAGGGATTCACTGGGAACTAAGGAAATATCAAATAAACTCAAAGTAAGAGATAAAATATGAATGGGAGGTATCAATACTTTCTCAAAACTGATTCGATCTCGTCTTATTGTCAATCTAGATTATGGGGTTTTAAAACATTGTTTTATAGTATATTATTATGCTTTCCAACAAGTAAGCTGACAATAATATTAACCAACCTGCCATGGCTAATTTATACAAAAATAAATAAATAAAAATAAGAAAACATAATTTTGTAGTAGGGATAAACGACAGAGATAGCACCTAATTCTGGTTTGTATGAAGAGTAGTTGGGTAGATCAATGGCCTTTTTCAATGTTATTGGACCCACCAAGTTAATCAGACTGGGTCCCTTGTCAAGTCGAGTACTCTGGTAAAACTAGAATTAACTAAAAAAAGAAAAAGTTTATATAGAACCAAAGCTCTAAACAATCAAATTAGAGTCCAAGGTTGGAGCTGAGTTTAAAAATATTGGCATTTAAACTATGCCACGAATGGATTAATAGATTTTTCTTTCTTGTTTTTTTATTAAGGTTAAAGGTAGATTTCAAAAGATAGAGGAGCAAAACTTCATAGTTATATGGGAGAAGAAAAATGGGAAAATTACTGAAACTCCCCCAAAATCAACTTTTTAGACTCTTTACCCCTCCTTTAAAGTTTCCTTACTCTTCTTTTAAGAAAATAAATTTTTATTACTAATACCACCCCAATCTAAAAAAACGTAAGTAAATACAAAATAAATTTTTATTACTAATACCACCCCAATCTAAAAAAATGTAAGTAAATACTAAAATACTCCCCTCCCCCTACCCCCCTTGTTATTTTACCCTAAATTTACTCTTACTCTTCCTGTAACAGTTTACGGTTTCCTTTTTCTTCCTCGCGTTTTCACCGTTAGCCTCCCTTACCTTCTTCTTCTTCACGATTTGGTTTCTTTATTCGTTTTCACCTCGCGTTTTCACCATTGCCTTCTCCTCCTTCCTCGCGGGTTGCAGGTTCGTCTCCTTTCCTTTTCTTTCCTCATAGTATTCTCATTTTTTTCTTCACAGATTTTCCCCTATTGTTTAGGTGAGTTCTTTATTCTCATTTCTTCTATTCAAATAATCTATTCTCTCTCTACAATTGAAGGTGTCATTCCCATCTCAAGTTTTTTCTTTCCCACGAGTCTCTACGAAGGCCCTACAGAGCATAGCTATATTCAAACGAGGACCATCACGGACCCAGCTCGATTTTTAAGGTTCAGGTATGAAAGAATAGTTCATTTAAATATTTAAGAACATTTTTTATCTAATATTTATGTTGTAACTTCCACTTTGCGATTAAATATTGGAATGTGAAAACGTGTTTGTTAATTGAGTGAAATTGTGCATCCAAAGCTTGTTAATTGTGTTGAAATTTATGTTGTTTTTTATGAAAATGTGGATGAGAACCTTTCCCCAAATTGTGTTGTTGGTTTTTTATTCAGCCATATTTGCTGTATTTAATTTGTCATTGACCATTGAATGAATGGATATGTAATTCTTAAGATGTATTGATTTTTTATTTAATTTATTATGGGTATTGTCAATGTCTCACTATTGTATTTTTAAGGTATGAATGTTATTGGTGGTACTAATTTTTGTCTGTTTTTTTTGTATTATGTTGATCTTATAGATGTTGATCCACTATATTTATTTTGTTTGGTTCAAATTTAGTAGCAATTCTTGTTTACAATAATCTTTTATAAAATTTCGGTAGCTGTTAAAATTATTGAGGGAATGGATTGATAATGGCTTATGATGAATTGAATGTTTTCTCTTAATTTGTTATGGATATTGTCATTCTATCTGTATTTGTCATTTTTAGATATGGATGTGATTGAGGGACTAGGAGCCCATGTTTTTACCTCTAGTTTTGTACGTAATCTTTTGCATCTAAACAAATGGGAAGCATATCTGGTTGTTGCCCTATCTCTGCTTACTTAAATTCCATTTTCCCTTGCCTGCATGCTTAGGAAAAAAAAACTCATTTTTGTCACATACAATTACCCCAGTTGTCAGTAGAGTTATGTTAACTTCCAAACTGGCCCTAGAATTGAAGATGAGCTTACTTTGATTGTTTAGTGCCTTGTACTAACCACCCCCCCCGGGTCTATTTGAAGATGAGGCCTTACTTTAATTGTTTTGTCATTTTCTTAGTAGTAATTATTATTACAAAAAGATTTCTTAAAAGATCACAATAAGCATAAGTCAAGTTCAAGGCTAGTATTTATGATGTTGTATATACATTGTATGGATTAAATTACTACAAATTTTGTGCAGGACAAAAAGAAAATGGGTAATAGCAGATTAATTCATTACATGTTTGGTGCAGAACTCTGAACAAGTGGCGATGAGACTTTAGATTATATTGGTGGTGATGCATTTACCTTTTTCCCTGACTGTAGAACTGAGTTAGATGACTTGCGAAACTACGTGGCAGAACGTTTCTCACTCAACCTGCATTTGATATCATTGAGGTATTTTGTATCGGAAAATAGAAAATTTATGGTAAACCTATTCATTAATGATGATATTGGTAGGATGTTGAACGCCCATGAAGGCGAGAATCAAGTGTTAGTGTATGTATTTCATGGGAACTAGCATAGTTGTGGAAGTACTTTAGATAATACTATGACAGTCGAAGAGGTCAGACCCCCACAGCCATCAAATGTTTTCGTAACTGGTTTTGAACAAAGCAATGTACCAAGGTTGCTTAGCACATGAGAGGATGCACTTGTTGGGTAGGACAACAATTTGAACCTTTAGAAGAGTTTCGTAAAAGCCCTTAGCAAGTTTGTTATAGCAAACCATTTCGCATACCGTTTCGTTAATAACGAGGGGTATCGTGTAAGGGCAAAATGCAAAGGTGATGGATGCAAATGAGAGATATATGCTGCGAAGCTTGGCAGGACATATGTTTTTCAATTCAAAACATGGATAAAAGACCACTCATGCAATATTGAAATAAGCACTGATGTACAGAGAAGAGCACCACGAAAATTTGTTACATCTTTAATCAAGGACAAATTAAGTGACACCGCGTACTACAAGGCTAGAGAAATTATGACTGATTTGTCTCGAGATTATGGGTTAGAAGTACCTTATTAGAAGGCTTGGCAAGGAAAATAATCGGCCAACAAAGACATACATGGTTCGTAAGAGGAGGCATACATCAATTACCAGCATATTTAAACCGTGTGATGGAGACGAATCCTGATAGTTATACGACATGACAAATATGGCCAGGTGGTAGATTTCGTCGATTGTTCTTAAGCTTTTATGGGTCAATACATGGCTTTAAAAATGGATGTCGTCTACTTATATTGCTCGATGGGACATCACTGAAGTTACGTTACCATGGGACTCTACTTACTGCCAACTCACTCGATAGGGATGGACAAATGTTTCTTGTTGCATTCGCAATTGTGGATGCCAAAAGTACCGATAACTGGTTATGGTTTTTGGAATCTCTAAATATTACTATTGGGACAGATCGTAAAATTACTTTCTCATCAGATAGACTCATTGGTCTAGTTGATACTGTCTGTCAAGTTTTTTATAATGCTCATTATACCTTCTGTAAGCGTCATTTAGCAGAGAATTTAAAAAATGAAGTAAAACACATATTTAATGATGTTAAGAAGGCAATTGTATGCGCATTTATCAGAGTATGTAGAGTATATACTCAGCAAGAGTATTTTGATAAGATGATGAAAATTAAATCACTTTCTGAGGACGCATTCAAGTGGTTCATGGAAGCATCACCAAATCATTGGGTCACATCACAGTTCAAGGGTAATTGATATGACCAAGTAACAACTAATGTGGTTTAGTTATATAATAAGTGGATCCTAGAAGCACGAGATATGTCAATTCTCCAGTGTATAGACTTAATTAGGAGACAAATCATGGAATTAATGGCCACTCGCAATTTAAAAGTTGAAAACTGAAGTACAACACTTTCCCGAAAAGCTCAAAATGAATTAAAAAAAATCGTTAAGCAATCACTTTCCGTGACGGTAACTGTGGCATCAAATGGAGTAGTGTATGAAGCAATGGGTGATCACTTTAATTATATGGTAAATATTATTACACGAGAATGTGAATGCCAAGGTTGGCAAATAACATGTTTGCCTTGTAAGCATACATGTAAAGCTCTTCAAGTAATGAATAGGGATCACGTTGACTACTGTGAAAAATATTTTACAGTTACAAAATTGCGTTAAACATATTCTGTACTTATCATGCCAGTTACTTTGATCGACTTGTCTGGACATAGTTTATATAGACAGCTTCCTCCGGAGGAAGTACGAGTGCTTCCACCTCACTTAAGATGCCCCCCTGGCCGATCTAAAATGAAGCGTATCGAGTCGCAGGAGGTACCAGTGCGACATATTCACTGTAGTCAGTGCAAAAGAATAGGTCATAACAGGGCAACATGTAAAGCACCCATTTGAAGGCATGTACATGTAAAACACATTTACTTATGGGTTACATTTATTTTTTGTTAATACATATACTCATGTTATTGTATTTATTATTCTATTTTTTGTTGTTGTTGTAGCATCCGCTTGTCATTATTTATTGCCAACTCATATGTACATATCCTCTTAATTGATGTAACGATGGAATATCCAAAACAGTCAAGAGGAACAAGGGACCCATCCACTTCATTTGATCAAAGGAAAAATGTACAATAGTCTATTTAGTCTACTTTGTGATTGCTATTATTTTGGTAATTCTTATATTGTTTATAACAATGTATGTCATTTCTTATTGAAGTTCATTTCAGAAGGAAATTTTTTTTCATATTAATGAATCAACAAAGACCCTTGGGAAATGGGAGCTAGATCCACGACAGATAGCTTTGGTTGAAAAGACCAAATTGAGCTCCTTAATAGACATTGGGGTCTCCAATAGCGATTGCAATCTATTAAGGGCTTTTATAGGAAAATGGTGCAAGGCAACAAATACTGCATGTTTGACTGTTGGTGAGATGACTCCAACCTTGTACGATATCTTATATATATTAAGGATACCTGTAACAAGAGAGCTTATAACATTCATCAGACCTACAGACTACAAGGCTTTCATCATGGAGTACTTAGGAGATTGCCCTAAAGGAGATAAATTAAGTCGTCTAAAACATACTTGGTTGAGGACAAAATTCGGGCAACTACCAAAAAAGCCAACCAAATTAAAACTTATTCAACACACTCGAGCCTATCTCATTTATTTAGTGGGCACAATGATATTTGCCGACTCATCTCAAGGGTCAACACTTACAAGTTACCTACAACTATTTCAAGATCTCGATGAGGCTGGGGAGTATGCATGGGGTGCAGCAGCACTTGCCTTTTTGTGTCGTTCATTATCAAATGTTGCAGACGGGGAATCACATTTTAGTGGGTCAGCAACATTACTACAAGTAATTTTCAACTTTCTTTAGTCAATATTTAGGTATATGCAGTCTTATTGGCTTCTAAATAATACTTATATATTTTTCTCGTTTGCAGTATTGGATTTATAAGCATTTTCCAGCTCTAGGCACCAAACCCAAAACTATCGCCATAGAAATGCTTAGAACTTTCAAGTGGAAGAAACAACCAAGCTGTAAAGGCCCATTAACAATGTTTGATGACATCTCAATTGACATGGTTAGTGTTATTGTTTTGTTGTAAGTAATATGATTAGAAGTAAGTTTTTTATGATATATCAATTAAGAGTGTTTAATGCAAAGACCCGTGAACAGTGTTGTGTTATGTTATTGTTGTAGGTAAATTGGCAACCACATGAGGACTACACCCCAGTAGATACACTCAGTAAGGAAAAAGCATTGTGCCGATCATATTTTATCAGTTTTCACATTACAAAATATTATATGCCTGATCGTGTGCTGCGGCAATTTGGGAAGATGCAAGCTATTCCTGTTGGGCCACCCAAGTGGGAGAGGAGAGAGAAGGTCAATCTACATCCCGCTAGTTGGATTGATGAGTTGGCTAGCAAGATAAGCGACTGGCTAGCTAATACATGTTCATAAGCCCATGCATAGGCCAATTTATTAGAAATTCATCATTTTTTAATTCTTCAGAGCAGCCCGACTAAAATTGAAAGTGCTCCGACAAAAAGAGAAGGAGGGTTGGCATTTCAAGCAGGTCACTTCGGTCCGGCTAAAGTCTCACTGGATTGATGAGCGCTCCGGCATTCCTTATAGATAAGTCCGGCATTCAGCTTCCTAGACAAACGACCAGTCCGACACTTCATCGCATTGAACCGACAAAAACCTCACTGGAATCATGTACGCTCCGGCATCCACAGTACAGCCGCCCTGCAGTTAAGATCCTGGAAACATGCGCTCTGGTGTTCTCTAAACTTGGTATGGGAATTTCCTTTTGTGTCAAGGCCAGTCCGGCATTATACCATGTAAGTCTGACGATTGTGTCGACCACTCAGGCAGGATTTCAATGCATTTTGGAGCTCCCTTACTGGATGCACTCCGGGATTGTTTGTATCATCGATCCGAAATTTCGTGCAGGTCACTCAGGCATTAAGCTTCTGGGACAAACGACCAATCCGACACTTCATTGCATCGTACCGACAAAAAGCTCACTGGAATCAATTGCGCTCCGACATTCGTAGTACAACGACCAGACAGTTTGGTTCTTGAAAATTATCGATCTGAAGTTCACTTGAAGCGGTCCGTCGATTTTCTTTTGTGTCAAGGTCAGTTCGGCATCACACCACAGTAGTCCAGTGATTGTGTCAACCACTCTGACAAGTTTGCAACGCAGTCTGGAGTTCCCTTACTAGAGGCACTCCAAGATTGTTTGTGCAGTCGATCCGGCGATAGTGAGCAGTGATCCGATGTTTTCAAGGGTGCACCGGCAATTTATTGGAGCAGTCCGGCATCTTACTTACTGTAATGTGTGCACTCTGGCATTCATGAGCAGCGACCTGACATTCTTATGCAGCATTCCGGCAATTCATGTGAACAGTCTGGCGTTAGCTTATATATCTCAGACCGCGCACTCCGGCATTTTTCTGTGGTAATCCGGTAATTGGATTACTGTAATGTGCACAGTCCGGCTTTCATGCATAGCGACCCAGCATTTTGGTGTAGCAGTTCGACGATATATGTGTGTGGTCTGGCAGTTGCCTTATTTATCATAGACCGCACACTCCAACATATTATTGGATCCCTCTGGTAATGTGTTTATTGTAATGATGTGCAGGTCAGCATTCGTGAGCTGCATTCCAACGTTCTCTTGGATCAGTCTGGCATTGTATGTGCTTAGTCGGGCGTTATGCTTTACCTATTGGAGTGGTTCCAATATCTGTGCGGTACGGCCTTAATAATCTATAGCCTGGCGTCTATTTAGTCCAGCAAATATTTAACGCAGTCCTGTAAAAATGTAATTGGGTCTGTCCAAGTGATTTTTTCATACACTGATAGTACGATGAGGGTCATTTTTGTCAAATAATGTCTAACTTTTTGACTTTGAGGGGTATTAGTAATAAAAGTTGGTTTTCTTTAAAAAAGAGTAAGGAAACTTTAGGAGGGGCGTAAAGAGTCTAAAAAGCTGATTTTGGGGGGTAATAAGTAATTTTCCAAGAAAAAATTGCAAGTTGGACTCCCTACTTCTAAATATGAATCCCAAGAATTTCCACATACAACCCAAACTCTAACCTCGAAGTAGGGGTAGCTAGGGCAGCTCGGTCCTGGCTGGCGTAAAAGACCCTCAGGTTGTGGTTGCTTAGGCCTAGCCTGGCTTTCGGGCCATATTCCCTATTTTTTAGGGTCGAACTGACCTGGCTGAGCCGGGCCACCCACCATATTGCCACTCGTACCTCAGAGGTTTAAGCTCTATCCATTGTCTAAGAACCAAAATACTCCCCCACAATGCACCTCCAAGAAATACAATCATCCCAAAAATTCCCAACCCAAGCCAAACTTCTCAAAGGAAAGCACCTTCTTTTTTGCAATCTCCTCATGGGTTAGGATTTGAACAACACACACCCTACACTGAGTCGACGCCCATATGAATAACAAGTAGATCATGGCGACATATAGGAAGTTGACGGCACATAACCAGCGATCAAAAGTAAGAACAAAAGACCGATCCGAAGAAAGCATAAGCGAGGGAAGATGGGGGAGAAAGGGACCTTAGAAGTAGGATGAGTAGGAGACTAGCTCAGCTCACTACCTGACCATAGGGATTTCAAGCACTTGACAGGGAGCATAAACAACCCAAACAGGGCTAATCTGGTGAAATGGTGTAATGCATCTCCAACTATCAAAATTTGAGCCTAATTTGAATATACTTAGCTAGCAATGGGCCATTCATTATGCATTATGATATTGCAATGAAAGGGTGCGGTTTGTATAAAGTCGAGGCTCTAAACAATCAAAGTAAAGCGTGTTAGTATTTTTTATTTGAAAAATGATTAAGTGTATTTCAAAACAACCACTTTGGTTTTATTGTACTTTCGTAAAAGGCCATTGTAGAGAGAGAAAGGTATGGGTTTAAGTCCAACATTGAAGATGAGAGAGTTTGTTGAGCCATATTTAAGATCACGTTTTCCCATGCAATATACTTTAAGTGTAAATGAGAGAGAATGCACATGTGCGGCGCACGCAAAGTGTGAGCATGGGCACAAGGGTGCTTGATGGCACACTCGTGACTCGTTATCCTTTTATGAGGTCGGCTCGTAGGGAGATCCAACGGTCATCTAGCCGTTGATGCGTGTGCGACTTACAACAGTCTTCTAGTCATTGATGAGATGGAGGCTTGCAACAACAACTATCAAGTGGATGTAACTAATGTAGCTTGTAGATGTTGGGGTGCATGTAACCACTTGTAACTTGTAGATGTTCTCTTGGTGCTCTATAACAAGGGCCCTCCTACCTGCTCTATAACAAGGGCCCTCTTACCCATACGAATTTGGATACTTAGAACAATTTGTGAGTCTCTCAACAATACATCACTCTACAATTCCAACAAGCAAACCAGTGGGCTAACTCTCTCTCTCTACTCGATTTTTTTTTTTTTCTTCTCTCTCTCTCTCTAATACATCAAGACCCTGGTGTCTATTGTGTGGGTTCCAAGCTTGGGTGCATAGAGCTTATGAACATTGTTAAAAGACCTATATATTTTCCTGTATCCCGAGGACAAATTTCCCTTCTTATGCAAATCAAATACTCTATCGAAAGGGGGGCAAATATCGTACTGAGATAGCGCTGATGCGTGCCCAAAAACAAGAAGAGTTCGATATCTAATTTTGCAAATTGTACCATTTTTTGTCCCATTTCACCCACCAAACTCCAACAAAGCGCACCTTCAAATGGTGTTAAGAAATGTAGTTTCCATAATCGAAATCTTTGTGATAGCCTTAAAATAAAATTTCATCCTTAATTATAAAATTTAAAGCTTCGAAAATAGTGTAGATCGAGCAAATCTATGAAAAATTGAAATCTTGAAAATTGACCATAAAAAAATGCGGTATAAGATGCACTATTTTCAAATTTTGAAATCCAATTTTTTTTCATGTTCATGCATCTTGATGTCGAGATGATCAATTTGAGGATATTTGGGCATCAAAACAACTTCTTCTAGTGAAATTTTTGAGGTGAGCACTAATTTGATTGTTTAGAGCCTCAACTCTATATAAACTTTTTCTTTTTTCTAAACCCATAATAGTACAACAAGCTTAGTTTAGAATTAATGATTTACAATAAGCTGCAAACTGAATTGCTGTGGAAACGGCTCAATACATTTTCATGGGATGTGAAATTTTGTTTCTACCATAAATAAGGTTGCTCACGGAGAATTTTTAAGTGCTTTGGATCCATGATTTAGCATTTGCCTTTGCACTAATTTCGAGAAATTCTCAAAGTACATATTATAGTTGTCACTACTTGTTGAAGTAGCAAATTCTATAATTTACTCTCAATCATTACAAAGTTCTTTCTAAAGGACAATTTCGTGAGATATTGGTACTTGTAATTAGCTATATATGCCAAAACCTGATACCCATGAGAAATTTGAAAATATCAATTTTTTTTTGTTGAAAATATCAATATTTCAAGAGAACCGAACTGGTGTTTGAATCAATTATTTAAAAAATGGATCGATGATCCGGATTGGGCATCTAAAAAACCAGTTCAAATCGATGTTTTACTATATGGAAATGACAATGATTTGCAAAAAAAACACTTAAAAAAAATAGTGAACTAGTCAAAAACCAGTATGGATCGGTGAATCGACAGTCCAGATCACCGTTTTACTATAGAGAATTGCTGCTTGCTATGTGAAACCTCCGGTTCCCTTCTAAACTCGGTCGTTCCCTATATATACACAGAACCAGAAAGGGTGACCAATTCCTGGGTTAGACCGGACGATTCCATGCAGACCCAACATTTTTTTAAATTACCAGTTTAAATTACCAATGTTACCATGACAGTCAAAGATTATTATTATTATTATTATTATTATTATTATTATTATTATTATTATTTTATAACACATCATTTTTACCTAATCAAGTTCACATGTTTTTTTGTGTTTTGTTTTAGATTTGTTGGTGATAAATGAGACTGGTACAATTTCTACCAATTAAGAAAATTTTAGGTTGACATGTAATAAGGAAGTTTTATCAGACGACACCTAAGATTTGAACCAACGTTTAAAAGTTTGGCAAACATGAGCGGAACCAGTCGGCTTAGATCATGAATCGTCGGGCCCGTCTGCTTTTGCCAAAATATTGGGAACCAACCAATTATGGCTAATTATGCTAGAAAACCAGTGCTACTTCATTGTTTATATTGTTCAATTTGTTCTCTAATTTTTAAAATTTTTTATTGACCGGTTTACTTGGTTAGATCACCGATCCGCATAGGCATTCCAAGTCATTGCTCGGTGTTTTTAAACCTTGACTTGAACTATTTAACATTTTATTTATTGATAATTTTTATTTAGTTTCATGAATCTCATAATTGTTTTAATTTAACATTTTATTTATTCATAATTTTTATCTAGTTTCACGAATCTCATAATTGTTTTAACTTCAAACAGGCCATCAAATGACAAAAAAATTGGGTTTAAAATTTTATCAAATTACCCTAACGTTAAATAGTTCATCTTTTAGGACTATTTTGGAAAATTTCCCCATAATTTATGTACTTTATTCGTTTGTCATTAGTTGGGTAGGGTTTGTGTTCCACATAAGCCTCCATCCATAGTCAAAATCACATTTTTTTGTTCATGTTTTCCTCTAGCTTCTATGATTTGCCTCTACGCCACTTAAATAATAACAATAGTGAAATTGCACCTTACAATTTCTACAGTTCATATATTACTTAGTTAATAAATCATTTAATTACTTTTTTGAATTGTCATGGGTTGGGTTAGGTCTGGTCGAGGTAGCATTCAAATGAGGGTGCAGTGGGACCCATGAATCAGCCATGCAATAAAGGCCCCACTATTTGATTGATTGGTTGGCATGTTTTAATTTAAATTGGAGATTGGAACTTAGCTAAAATACAATTTATAGTTTTTTAACTTCATATCCAAAAAAGGAAAAAATTTATTTAAAGGTAAGGCCCCAAACGATAAAATTAAGGTATATCTAAAAAATTCGGTAGAAATTGTTGTTTTGATGCTAAAAAATCATCAAATCAATCATCTAAGTCTCAAGATGTATAGACATGAGAAAAAATGGATTTCAATTTTAAAAATAATGCATAATGTAATGTATTTTTTGGACCGTGAATTTTTTAGATTTTTCAAGTGATGATAGATCTACCCATTCTACACTATATTTAAAGTTTCAAATTTAATAGTTAAATATAAATTTTTTTTTAAGCCGTGACAAAGATTTATATTATTGAAACAATATATTTGGACAGTACTTGAAGGTACGCTTTACTTTAACCGTTTAGGGCTTCAGCCTCCAAAAAAAAAGTACTCCTTATTGGGCCCCTCAAATGCCTTAAAAGACACAAAATGTTGGCTCCATATCAGCACTATCTTCTTTTCCTTCTCATCCAAACTATTCAAATAGTTTAAAAGTAGTTTCTTTAGTGCAAGACAGCAATCGTGACCCATTCCTTTGTACCCAGTACTGTTTTCTAAAATAAATCCGATATTCCTCGTGCACCCTCGGATCCATCAAACGAAATTCCTTGTAATTTACGGGGGACAAATTTTATACGTTTGCAATAAAACGTAATGAAATTGAATGTGTTGCAATAGAAAAAGGGTATGGATATGCACAAGCGCAATAGATTTTAATTTCCTTGCATGGAAACATTATAGAACAATATTGTTTGAAATTGAGTGGACGGTGGGGATTCCGGGACCACCAATCCAATGGTGGGCGACCAGTTAGAGGGTCAAAACTCACAACCTACACTATGTCCTCCTCTAGTATCAAAGTTCATTTTTTAATGTTTTTAAATAGAAAAATTGTTTCATACGGAGCTGGACCGGGGTCCCAGGGCATAAAGCATCCAACTTAAAGATGAATGCGAATAGGTGTTTCATTTAAAAACAATTGAAACTAACGGTATAAATATTTTTTTAATAAAATTATTATTTATAATTTTTAATATTTATTTATTTTTTCATATTCACGATCTCTATGTTAGATATTATATATGCTTAAAAATTAAGTCCAAAAATGAGGTGACTCATTTCTATATGGACCCCATATGAACCGTGTCCTTTTTAATATCCCTCCTATTAATTTCCTTTCTAGAAACACTATAAAGAGACAGAGTTTCAAACTTCAATAATGAGAGAGAGAGATTCAAACTTGAAATTCAGGAGAGAGAGGGATTCAAACTTCAAATTCAGGCGAGAGAGAGTGATTCAAACTTCAAATTCAGGTTCGAACGCTTCATCCGCTTGTGAGTAACCGAGTACTTTAAATTCACTTCAATTGTGAATAGCCCTTTTACTCATGGGTGTGCTTTGTACAAGGCCGTGGCCTTAAACAATCAACATAAGGCGCAACTTCAAATAGCATTGAAAGATTATTATTTTTAGTATTGTAAATCTTTGTGATGACCCGAAATTTATTTTCATTTCTAGTTATAAAATTTAAAGTTTAAAAAATAGTGTAGATCGAGTGGATCTATGAACACTTGAAAATCTAAAAAAAATTGATGGTCCAAAAAATACATTACAAGTTACACTATTTTCAATACTTGAAATCCATTTTTTCTCTTGTCCATACATCTTGGAGTTGGGATGATCGATCGGAGGATTTTTTAGCATTGAAACAACTTTTTTTTAGTGAATTTTTGATGTACTATAATTTGATTGTTTCCTTATATAAACTTTTTAAGGTATTCTACTCCCTAAGCAATGGTCAATTGGTACCACCTTGTACCAAATATTAATGGTCTCATTTTATGTATCTGTGTATATATTTTTAACTACTTGTTTATTGATTTTAAATGGACAATACGCTCCCTTGGGAGAATGAAATCTTTGAGCTAAAGTGGAACCCTCTACTTCAAATTGCAAAAGCCCTCAGGTATTCTATTTGAAGGAGTAAATATATAGCACACTCTCGCAAGTGCACTATAAAGACACTGAAAAGACAGATGCCTTTACCACGCGTGAGCCTGTCAACGATCACCTAATAAGGGTTAGCCCAACGGTCGTAGTTTGAAATCTCCCAACGCGTTCCTTTGAAAAGCAATCTGACCTCTTTGAGGTGTACTTTCAAAGAAGAAAGCTCTCTCTCTCTCTATAGATCTCTCCCTCTAGAGAGAGAAAGAGAGATCTCTCTCCTCTTATTTTTTTTTACATGTCAACTCTCAATAGAGTCTCAAACCATAACAAGGCGTTCACAAAGCACTAAAATAAGAAGAGCCACAAATGACTAAGACTAACCCCAGTTTTTGTTTGTAAAAGAATCGTAAAAACTTTATACGGTATATATCCTGATCCAATATTATTTTAAATCCCATAATCTAAAAATAACCAAATATACCCCCAAATAGAGGCCGGTTTTCCCCGATGAGCCGTTCAAAACACTAGGATGGCAATGGAATCTGACCCGGCCCGGACACGAGGGTAGAAAAAATCTGGGTATGAGTATTGGTCAAAAAACCGGTTCCAAATCATGGAGCTGAATACTATTTGGGTCTTGGTCTGGATCCGGATACGATTTCTTGGGTCCCAATATATGAAATATATTTAAATATAGTTAAATACATAGATATTTTAATTTTTGGGTCAGATCCGATCAAGTCCAAGTCCCATACGATAGTTTTAGATTTGAATCTGAATCCAATGAATTCGGCTTTTGTTCTGGGTCCATCCTACAAAAGAACACGAAATTCCTAACAATTTCAAATCATTAACCGCAAGATTAAAGTTTAGATTATGCTAATATTGGGTGAGTTTTGAAGAAAGTATAAGGGGTTCTACTTTATGCTTTTTCAATATTTTGGTTTGATTTATGTTCACCTCAAAACTATCTAAAAAGATGTAGTAAATGGTGGCGGAAAGCCTTTAAATGGCAAGGAAATCTCCCGCCACCTTTATGAAACTAGAAGTTTAAAAAATAGTGTCAATCAAGCCGATACATAAATATTTAAAATATTAAAAATAAATAGTCTAGATAACATGTTATAAAATAAACTATATTAAAGCTAATTTTTTTTTTTCTTCAGTATACACGACTTGAGTTGAGATAATCAATTTAAGCGTTTCCCAACATTAGAATAAGGTACATCTTACTTTTACATTATAGGATTGACGCTTTATATAATTTTTTTATTTTAAAATGCATAGGAATTAGCACTTTATATTAATTTTTTCCTTCATAAAATTAAGGGAGTTATGCTTGTCAAAAGGGGGGGGCATTTGTCATTTTAGAAAAGTGTGGTCTGTTTTGGGTCACTCGCCCGTAATGTTTGAAAACCGAATCGAATAGTAATATCTGTAATATGAGATGGCAGTTGTTACCCATCAATAAGTTTGTCTATCACCCAAAATAGAGTAAAAGAGCTAAAAGTTCCAAAATCTAATTATTTTCACATATGACCAAAACTACCCCTAAAGTTTCTCAAATAACCCTGCAGCTACACTGCTCTAAAAACACAAAAATTCCCAATTATTCCAACTTATTAAGCTGAAAATAAGCGGTGGTTACTTATTTAGTTGCTAAATTCCACTAATTACCTACCCCCAAATTTTATAAATACCACACAAATATAGATACTAATTTGAAATTTCTAAATTTTTTTTAAAGCCCACAGCGTTTTCGTTAAAGAGGGTATACACTGAGACTATTTACATTTAAAATAGTGAGGTCGCAATTATTTATGACCATCCCATGTGAAATGTATAGCTCGGTTGTATCACAAAATTTGATAAAAATTCTTTTGAACTTTAATCTGGTTTAATGTAATAAAGTGCAGCCATCCAATTTCCCATCCAAAAATCAAGATTTATTGTGATTATTTTGTATAAAAAATAAGTAGTCTTGTTATAGTTTTATCTGTCGTTACTTTCTTGAATATTGACAGATTATTGTCCTTCTAAGGTATGCTAAGGGCATATTATGGTATTTGGCCCAATCCATTATCGAAAAATAAAAAATTAAGAAAAACCTTCAGAAAGAAGAAACGTCTCGTCACCTGTCTACTATAAATAGAGTTGTTCTTTCGACAGAGGAAATGCCATATTCTGTCTCTAGCAAGCCTGACCCGTTCCCTCTTTCTCTCTTTAACCTTTTGTGCCTCAATATTAGGGTTTTATCAGAGCTAGGGTTACGGAGAATTAAGGTTTCAGGGAATCAGGGTTTCAGAGATGGGACAGCAATCGTTGATTTACAGTTTCGTTGCTCGTGGAACCGTGATCTTAGCAGAGTACACGGAATTCACAGGGAATTTTACGAGCATCGCTTCACAATGCTTGCAAAAGCTTCCTGCCAGTAATAATAAGTTCACATACAATTGTGATGGTCATACCTTTAATTACCTCGTCGAAGATGGATTCAGTGAGATAAATTTCCCTTTAAAGTGAATATTTTTTTGTTTTTTTTTGCATGCTTTTGGATAATATCTGATAATCTGATTATTGTGAGGCGATGATAGTTTTCAGATGCTTGGTATCGCTGGAAAAGCATTTTTTATGCATTTTATGGAGGATCTGTGATTGCAAATGAAGAAGTTGAGTTGTAGATGTATCATTCGTATGTATGTTATATGGCATATAGAGTATTGAAACTTGATTTCCTGTAAAAAATATTTTATTTGCGGGATCTATGGTTAGTTTGCAATTGCATTGCTTTTTATTTTTATTTTTTATCAATGTTTGGGGATATATGAATGTATGCATTTCATGATATTTAGGTGATACTTTACTGGTACGATCTGTGTGTTTAGCATGGTTAAGCTTTTTTTGTTTAATAACATTTAAATTTTCATTATTTAGTGGCTGGGTTTCGAAGAATGTTGTAGATTATTTTGTTATTTTGACTTAGATATATGTCTTTTGAGTATCAAGTATGACACATATTTTCTTGTTTTTGACTTCATTGTCTGTGGCTGAATTATTGACTGATACTTGTGCTGCCTGTATTGTTGTTGATACGATCTTAATGTTCTGAATCTGAATGATGAGATGTTTGTTTTCTAGTTTCTTTTTTTTTTTTGGATAACAAGAGTTCACATAAACTTACCGATTTCACTTCTTCTAGGTTGTTCAATTTGACAAGGAGATGAAAATCAGCTCCTAGGTTGTCTAGAAGCTCATCACATGGAATTCATACCTGCAGTTTCTCATTCATGGCATTTTTCTATTTATTATTATTGCTGTTGTAACTATTATTATCCTCTCCATGTTTCACGTTGCTCAGTTTCTGGTTGTGGATTCTGAACTGGATTTTTGGAGGATATGTTTTCTGGATGTTTTGGTATATCAAAGTGGTTTTGGGGACTGTTATTTCTAATACTCAAGATCAGTAGTACTCTAGCGTTTTAAGTCAGCTGTGAACTACAGTTAGATGCATGGTTGATGTTTTGTCTTCGGGAGTTGATTCCTTTAATGCTTATTTGTATCAGAGTAGGAAATTTTAGATGCTATTGGGCAAAAATGTACTTGGTAAGATAAAAAAAAAAAAAAAGCAAAAAAAAAAAGAAAAGAAAAATGTACTTGGTTACTACTTGCTACTGGATAGGTATTTGTTTGCTTCTGGACACGAGTGCTTGCTGTTTTAAGGCATCTACGGATTCCCTCCCCTCTATCCTCTGAAAAGAAAAAGGAAAAAAAAATCTTAGAAAAGAACTAACATGCATGTGTGCTCACAAACCCCTTTTCATATGATAACATATTAGCTTTATTTTCTGTTAAAGACTGAAAAGGAAGTCAAAAGGAAATCTATACTCTATAATGCCAGTTTGTCATGGAGGCACAGACACATGTTTCAAATATCCTATTTGTTTGGGTAAATGTCAAAAGGTAATTTGAAGGAATAGTGGAATTAGACTGATATATCCCCATAACGTGTTTACCACATGTTCCTAAGATCTGTTTATTTTTTTATTTATTTATTGTTGTGAGCTTGAATTCATCTGCACCTGCAGGACAGTTTCTTTTGGAGTACAATAGATTATGATTTTTCTTTTAATTTTGAGCATGGAAACTGGTTCCCTTGGAACCTTGGGTATTCATTCGCGGTCACAGCTAGTAATTTTTGAAATGATGTGATACACCTTCCCACTCTTGCATCATGGAATTGTAAGTCTTTCCAGTTATCATATGGATTCATTTTGGTAATTCCATTTTGAGGATCACTTGGATCTTTTGATTAGTTGATGCATGTCTAGTTCACCTAGTGTGATTGATTTTGAGGGGCTTCTTGGTTATATATTAGGAAAAGTGGCTATGATTGTTATTGCATGGGCACTGAATAATGGTTTCTCAGTAGAAGACATTTCCCATTAGATATTTGCTAAACACTAGAAATTTTGGATCTTTGATGAATTTTTGATTATGATACGTGAGAGTAATTAATCAGTTCAGGCTCATATTTAATGGTTGCCTTATAAAGAAAATGAACCACTATAGATATTTGGAGAATAACTGTCAAGAAGTGAAATTCAGTAAATCTCCAAGATGTGTGAGATTTTTCATTGCAGTTCTAACTGGAACTAGTTCTTTATGTGGAGAATGGTTGAGTTAATACCATTGGGTATCTTCCAAGCCCTATCCATTGTCATCTGTTAGGAGTTAATGATGACAAATGGGTATAACATGCTAGCATATCTTAATGATAGCTTATTTGAAATTGCCAATTGATGTATGTGATTGTTGGAGACCATCTGACTTGGACTTCCTTACTCTCGTAACCTTGTTGAAGAACGTATCATGGAATATATCGTTGACATGTCCATTGGATTTTTGTCCTGAAGTGATATTTCAATTGCAACCAGCCATATATCATGAGAGGGTGCGTGGCTAGGACGATTTTGATTCTAAGGCAGTCTATAGATTTATTATTTTGTTGCCTTATGCCAGTAATTTTGAAGAGAAGCTTCTGTTAGTTGGGTGCTTGAATGGGTGAAAACATTAAAATTAGATCACAGTGGTTAGGCGTGGGATGAATCAAGAAAATGGGACAAGGTGAATAATTTCCTTTCAGTTAGTTGGTTGAGATGAGGTGTGGCTCTTGTCAACTCTGAAGAAGAGAATATTGCGTTTCAGTCGTTTCCTATTAATATTTCCTCATCTCCACACTAGTGAAATGGAAAAATTTATGTGCAATGTTTTTTCCTCCCTGATATACCTCACTAGATGGAGAGTGATAAGTTACCATCCTGATATAACCTGGATGTGTAATTGATAGTGTTAAACGTTTCAACTTTTCATAAAATGGACTTTGTCATAGTTATTATTGTGTATAAGTCCTTGTGTGCACTTGTGATAAATTTGAATTTGAGGATTCGTGAATGATATTGAAATTATCTGTTTATAGACATGGTTACACAATACATTGGTTTGACTATTTCAAATTGCAACTATTACTAGATTTGACATTTTGTGTTCTCTTTTTTATGTGTCCTGGGAATTAGGGATTCTCAGAAATGTAATGTTCTATATGTCTTGCATTGATTTCTAGACTAAGCCTTGTGAGTTCCGATCAGATTGGAAGCCCTTTTCTTATATTCACTATTGTACTTTGTCCTTCAACAGGGGGCAAATGAAGGAGATCAAAACTATTCCTATGTTGGGGGGCATGGTCAAGCAACCTCTTTAGCTAAACTTAAACAATCAATTTATTTGATTTATTGATTATTATCATGCTAAAATTTACTGATTGAAATGGATTTCTGCTCATCTGTGAAGCTTAGGATTTTCTAGCCTCCATATCTAGGTTGAGAGCAATATGGGACTGCAACCCCACCGATGATCCGATTCTTTATTTACCTTTTGTGCTTCCTCTTCGGTTAATACTTAATAGTGTGTTGGTGCTTGTAGTTCCGAAAAGCAGAAATGGGTTTCTTTGTCGTGTTTGCTTTCCCCGGGTTTGATGATGGTTACCTATTTATTGAGGCTGGGGTTCAATCTATCTTCCAGTCCTCTATTTACCCAACATGCTTCCAATTGGGGTTTAATTGTGTATTGTTGCTTCTAGATTCTAGAAGCAGAAATGTAATCTATTCATCTTTGAAGTATGTGTATAGGACATGGATGGTACTTGTCTAGCAAGCTGAGATGGTCTTGGGCTCTTGCAGTTCACGGTTTCTTTAAACCATTGGTGACATCCATTATGTGACTGTTCCAAGTTCCTAACTTTGCATATTGTAAAAATGTGAGATATCATGACCCATGTTGGAAAACTCGCTAGGCGGCACTAGGTGATGGGGGGGGCTAGGGCTGCCTGTCTAGGTGGGCGCCCAGAGACATGGGCATCCAATTGTCGAATGTTGTTTTAAGGGTTTGGTTAAATACCAAATCCCTTGGATTTTAGTTAAACATTAAATTGTATCAAATAGTCAAACATTAAAGAAAATCATTTATAGAAAACACCATAACTCATAAAATGAAAAAACCCTAATATGGAATCTTTCAAGCTTCAAAAGGGTGAGCATCGGTTCCCAAAAGTCTCTTTTCACAACCCCTTCAAGCCCAAAAAGATTGGGCGCAAATGTCTTCTGATTTGCAAGAAATTGAAAATTTCGGGTTTTCGTTCGATCTTGGATTTCTCATAGGAACTCCGGATTTGACCGTATTTTTTGCTTCAAATTGGTTTCCAAGGGGTTTGTGGGGTTAAAATGACCCCCCATGGTTTTAATATAGTGAATTGGGAGGCAAGAAGACTAAAAATTCCCCTAACTGAGGGGCATTTTTGCTCCTCTCTCTAATTTTTTATAGGCCGCCTGGATAGACCACCTAGGCATGCTCCTGGGCGCTTACGCTTTATGCATGTTCCTGCCCTCGCTTGACTAGGCCTGGGTGATGCTCCTAAGGCCTCTGGCCGCCTAGGCAATTGGGCAGGCGAATTTTCCAACATTGATAATGACTTATTGTCTATTGAGTTTCATTTGTTGTAAACTTTTGTTTGATAGCATAGTATTTGTAATGGTATGTCAGTTAATTGCTTATATTTTTTGTCCTCTTAAGAGGGAACTATTCTTTACATGTAATTTTGTTTTGTAGCGTAATGTAACTAATTTGATTGGCGATGCCAAATATATCAAGGTAACTTCTTAGAGATTTAACCGTGTTACAAAAATCACAAAATGTGAATTAATTCTTTTTTTTACAACAGATGATTATAAATATATAAATATATAAATATATAAATATATAAATATATAAATATATAAATATAAAAGAATAACTGAAGTAATTCACACATTTGAGATAATGTAGCCAGTGACAATGTTTATCTATTTTTCCTTCAATATGCTGGTTCCAAGCCCGGATGAGAAAGGAGGAGGGTTGTATTAAGTTGGCAGCCAACAAAAAACTTTTGCCACATCCCTATCATGAGCCGACCCTAAATAGTTGAGAAAAGGCTCAGATCTTGATGATGATGATGATGTTGATTCTTCAGCTGATCTACTTTTTATATATTTTTAGTTGGAATATGATTCAATGGTTACCACAAGAATAATTGCTTTGAGCATGTTGATGGTACTTGCGTGCTTGGGGTTTTCCAAAGCTCTAATGAGCTTTAGGCTCATGCTTATATTCATTGGAAACCTACTCTTCTTTGCAGTGTCTTAGGGATTTCCTGTTTAAAAATTTCTACCTAGTGCCTCTAACACAGGTTTGCATTATTTCCTAGAAGAGTGGTTTTGTTTAATGTATCTGAAGCATTTTTTTTGTCCTTTAATTTTTAACTTTGAATAGACAATTTAGATGCAAAGCCTAAACTACTTCATTTTAAAAACTCTTATCTAGGATTTTAAAGTAGTGTACCTGGAGTGGAAGCTTACCTGAAATGCAAATGTTTGTGTTGTGGTCCTGTGGTGAAGTTCTTTTGGAGCTGGAGTAATGGAACTAGTTTTGGCTGGATATTTATTTTGTTAATTACCCTTGTGAGTGCCTATATAGTGTCAATTTCTGCCTTCTGGGCCTTTTTTTTCATTTTTGTTGGACCATTGTCTCCTAAACTCAGACCTACAGCAATTTCTGTTTTTTAATTGATGTCTCCAATTTTTCTCTATTTGAACTCATTGTCTTTCAGTTTTTCCAGTGTTGTAGTCATGTTGTTAGTTGGATGTCATTTTCTTCCTCGCATGCCTTTCATTCACTGGAGGGATTCGCTTTCTATTTTGTTTACTTTGGACAATTATCATGTCATATTTTTCCTTACCAAATCCAACACCCCTTTTTTTGCTTTAAGCTAGGTGATCCCTTCTTGTTGTTCTAAAGATCTTGCGTGGATTTCGTTTAGAGTGATGATGTTGTACAATAGAGAGATATTCTTTGATTCTTGTCACAAACCTCCTGTCTTCTTCCTCATTGAGTTTTCATTATTCAATATAAACTCATTATCAATACTTAGGTCGCATTGTTGATTCTCTTTGGTTGCATGAATGAGGAGTCCATTTTGTTTATTTTTCTCTTGCACCAGTAGGTGCACTGGGATTATATGCAGACTGTTTTTGTCCCTTTGTATGGGCACAAAGGGTGTGGCCATACATTGTCTGGTGCACATTGTGTTGCCAATTGTCATCACATTTTGTGCTGATTGTTCAGGGGATTTGGGAGTTTTCCATTGATCTAGGTTTTGTGAGTCACCTTATCCGTCGGGGACAATGATGTGATGGGCAAACTTGTCAAATTTGGGGAGGTGATGGACAAATTTGTCAAAAATGGGCCTTATGCTCAGTTTTCTCTGAGTACATTGGAGATATCATTTAGATTTAGCATCGTATGGATGCCTGGCCATGCTTTCCATCTTTTGTTATGAGCAAAACATAAAAGTTATGTTGTACTGTTGGAATTTGATTAAGTATGATTGGACTGTATAAGCATTGATGTTCTAGAACTTGAAGAGCTTCCGGTCTTCCTTTTCAATTTTGATCGGCAATTCTCTCCAATGATTCTTTAGTTGATCTGAAGCCCTTAAACTGGAAGTTCTCCTCTCTTCCCATGTCATGTCTATAATTGTATCAGTGTGAAATGTCAAGTGATGATAAATGTGTTGGTAAATTGAGAGATTTTAAGTAGAGCTTGGAGCTGTGTTGATCACGCATGTTCAATGTACTGATAACATATTGAAATTTTACGATTCTCACCGATGCAAGTAGAAAATCTAAAATTACACCTCAAGTATGCAGTAGTTTTTAAGTTGGGGGTTTAATCTTGGGAAATGCTATATGACTCGTGGATGTTGGAGTTAACCCACTTGGAACCTCACGAGTAAAGCATGGGTGGTGCTCCAAATGAGTTCTAGTTTTTGATTTTAGCCTTACACATGGAAAGGCTGCTTTGAAATTCAATTTTTGAGAGGGTGAAGAGGAGGTTGGTACCTTTGACAGGCAATCTTTTTATTTGGGAGAAGTTTCGATGTTGACAATTGCAGCCTATGTACCATTTGAGTCCTCTGTCTGACCTCCCTAACAAAAACAAGAAGAAAAAAAAATTACTCCAGAACTTTTGGTTCCCTCATTCAATTTTCCTATATCTATTTAGGGAGGCTGGGAGGGAGGAAGTCCCATCCGTCTCTAAGGGTGGCAGTGTTTGGGTGGCTGCCTTTGCAGATAGAAAGAATACTTGGAGGTAACTGTCAAGTGCTATCACTTCCCCAGTATTTACTTGATGTGTGTAAGAGAATCTGTTCCTCTATGTCAGGCTCATGTGAGGATTTCATTTTTAGTGAGGTTTGGAAGGCTTTATGAGCAGATGCAAGCCCATTGCTGATGGGGAAGTGAGAGTACCTGATGACAGAGTGGAATGCTATCAGAGGTGGTGAAGCTCCTTGGACCAAGGTGATAGATAGGTGTGGACTGTGGTGTTAGCAGAGGATTTTATGTTTGATGCTCAATTCTTTGTAAACTCTCTTTCTCTAATTTATATCAATGAAAATTAATTAATAGGAAAAATAATTATCTCATTTCAGTCTCTTGGGTCTTGATCCTCATAACCTTGCGCTCATGGATGTCCTTAATGAGAATCTGTTAAAGTTTATATAGTCAAATGTCTGTTGGTATGTTGTGAGATCGTGCATATTTATGGGCTTGATATCTGCCAATATTTGAATTAATAACCACCATGTTTAAAAGCACTTGGCCTTATTATCTTGAGGAATGAATGTCAATTTAATATGGGGGTATGATTAAGCTCGTATTCTTACTGAAGTACGAGTACAACATCCATCTATGGCTTGTTATGAGGCGATGGACGTGTGTGTGTGTGTGTGTGTGTGTGTGTGTGTGCGCGCGTGTTATGAGGCGATGGACGTGTTGGACGTGTGTGTGTGTGTGTGTGTGTGTGTGTGTGCGCGCGTGTGCAAGAGAGAGAGCGAGAGAGTGAGTGAGTGAGCGTGTGTGTGTGTGTGTGTGTGTGTGTTTGTGTGTGTGTGTCTCCATTTTCTATGTGCTATGTGTGATATTCTAGAAGTCATTACAGTGGCAATGTGCTATTCAAATATCATATTTGGAAGAATTTGTCAAGTGCCTGATCATTCCTTGGTGGGTTGTTACAGCCTACTGTGTGGTCGCGGTTGAATCAGTGGGAAGACAAGCGCCCATGGCTTTTCTGGAGCGTGTGAAGGAAGACTTTAATAAGAGATATGGAGGTGGAAAGGCTGCTACTGCTGTTGCAAACAGCCTCAACAGAGAGTTTGGGTATATTATCTCCTCTCTTTCTCAACCAACTGTAAATTATCCCCTCAACCAACTCTAAAGGTTCCTATGCTTTATGCTTTTAATTTCTTGATTTCATCATTTAGTTCTTTGCTTTCTGCTATCTATCCAGTACTTTGAAATATTGCTGTTTCATAAAGAAATTAAAGAGTGGCATAATTTTTTTTTTTCTTGGGTACTTCAGCGGTGGGATTCAAACTTTGGGGTGTTGTGTTGTGATTGCTATCGCATTACATTTTCTTTCATTCTTCTTTATCTACTAACACTCGATATTCAGAACAAAATTAAAGGAACATATGCAATACTGTGTGGACCACCCGGAGGAGATGAGCAAGCTGGCAAAAGTGAAGGCACAAGTCTCCGAAGTTAAAGGAGTAATGATGGAGAACATTGAAAAGGTTGAATCTCTCTCCCTCCCTCCCTTCCTGTAGTATAAAGACTAACTCTAGCATGCAAGCTAGATTTCAAATACATCATAAACTATGAGCTGATTTCATCCGAAGAACCGAACTGTCAACAATCACTTCTAGTCTGATCTACTGGAGCTGGAGGGGAGGTTCCAGCTTTTTTTCCAATGCTGTCTGGGTTTCAGAGAAATTCAGGTTTTGCCGTGTTCATGTTTTTGAACCAATGCTGTGTTCAGGACTGTGCACGGGGTTTTAGAGAAATTACTCTATGCACTGGGTTTCATAGAGTCCTGAACACTGGGTTTTAGTGAAATTACTCTATGCACTGGGTTTCATAGAAATTTAGGCAGCGTTTGTTTTATTATGAAAATTTTGGGAGAAAGGGTCTAGACTTGTATATGAGTTGTAATATATTGTTTTAGTGTGGTTGGTTTACAGCGAAACTCCGACAAAATTTGACCCTCTTCTTCTCTTCCTCTCAAAATTTGGCACACTTCCTTTCAAGAAGCATGGATAGTTTCTTGAAATACACTTAGTCCTCTGGTGATTTTGGATGTACTGGAGTTCCCTCTAAAATTCATTAGAATATTATTAATATACTGTTGCTTATGTTCAGGTACTTGACCGTGGTGAGAAAATTGAGCTTCTAGTGGACAAAACTGAAAATCTTCGCTCTCAGGTTTTTCTATAGCTCAGTCTTTTTCTTCGCTTTCCTTTTCATTTGATAGGAGATTCGCAGTTGCATAACCATGCCTTCTGTGCATGTGTGTGCATGTGTGTGCATGTGTGTGCATGTGCATGTTTGTGTGCGTGTGCATCAGGGTGTGTGTGTGTGTGTGTGTGAGAGAGAGAGAGAGAGAGAGAGAGAGAGAGAGAGGTGTTACCCTCTTCATTAGCATGTGTTTCAGAGAGAGAGATATGTGCTACTTTCTTCTTCAGCATGTGTTTGCAATCAAAACAATTGTATATTTGGTGTTCAGGCTCAGGATTTCAGGTCACAGGGGACTAAGATGAGGCGAAAAATGTGGCTTCAAAACATGAAGATCAAGCTGATTGTCTTGGGTATTCTTATCGCCCTCATCCTAATCATAGTCTTATCTGTGTGTCATGGCTTCCATTGTTGATCAAACTGTGAATTGTATTGCTCTCCTCTTGGCTGCTGCTGCTGATGCTAGCACAATACCTGATGGAACTGTGGCTTTTTTGTGGGTGGATGAGTTAGGGCTATTTTGTCCGTGGAGGAGTTAGGGCTTGTATATTCTCTGTTATGCATGCGTTCTTTAATGAAAAGGATATTTTTTTTGCTTAGGAAGGTTTGGTGATTCCTAACTTTTCAAGTGGTGATGATGGGAAGTGCAGCAGTAAGTAGAATAATCTATTATGTTTCTGAAACACCACTTTGAGGATGAGAGCTATGTCATTAAGGTGGTGCGGATAGCGGGGGGAGATTTATTTTGTGACATAGGTAATCGAGCTGTTTGTTGTGGACGAGAGCCATGTCAACATTTGAAATAGGGCTTGGGTCGGGCCAGCCATGCCTGAGTGGAGTCAGGTTGGCTATAGGGCCGTCCTAGGGGTGGCAATGGACCCAGACCCGATCTAAGACTTGAGGGGTAGACCCGATCCAGGTCCTAGTATGGGTACAAAAATTGGACCCATCTGGTCGGGTCGGGTCTGGGTCCAAATTGTGGACCGGAACACTATTCGGGATTGGGTTTGGGTCCCATATCACCCAGACCCAACCTTTTGCCACCCAGGCTTTGTGCAGCCTGGAGATTTAAAAGAACAAATAAAAAAAGAATGAGAAAAGCATGGGACTTGCTGTAGCCCTAGCCTAGGTCCAGCCCGATCCAGCCCTTGTCCTATGGTGGCCCAGCCTGGGCCGTGTGAAATATGCCCTTTTATCATCTAGAGAGATGCCCTTTGAGCGGTATCCCAAAAGTGATATTGAGAGCTTCCATATTGACTTCTCAATACCTAACCGGAAGGTGTTTTTATATTGGAAAAAGCTTATATAAAGTTAGTAAAGGTTAGTAACCTTGTATTATAGATGTAAGGTGTATCTAAAAAATACAAAGTTAGAAAACTTTCCAATTGATTATCACGATGTTGGGATGCATGGATATAAAAAACTTCGAGTCCTAAAAATAATATACTTTTACACAAGTTCTTTAAATCTCTATTTTTCAGATTTTTAAGTATTTATAAATATGCTTGATATATGCATTTATTTAAGAATTTTAAATTACATAAGTAGAGTTGAATATGGATTTTAAGCCAGGTTTCAGATCTGGTTTATATCTTTTGGCAAAATTTAAACGTGCAACTCTCATGCATAGTATAAGGTGCCAATATCATATTAATAAGGTGCGTCTCTAAAATTTGTTTGGAGATGTGGTTTTTGTGTCGGAAACCTTGTGATGGCTTTAGAATATTTATCCATAGTTATGAAATTTAAAATCTTGAAACTAGTGCATTGAATAGACTTGTAAATTCTTGAAAATCTTGAAAATAGACGGTCCAAATAACTTGATGTAAGATGCATTATTTTTAAGCGTGAATTTTTTTTCCAGCATCTTTTGAGGTTTTTTCAATGTCGAAATACTCTTCTAGAGGATTTATGAGGTGCACCTTCAATAATATAAGCATGCACTTGTACGAGCTCTGGCCTTTTTTTTTTTTTTAAATGGGGTCAGGAAAAATGCATTGTATTTAGTGCGTTCAACATTCCAAAATTCACAAAAATATGCCCCAAGCAAAATGAGGGTGCTATTAGCTTCTGGCCTAGGCTTTACTTTGAAAAAAAATGTTGAATTTAAAATGTTGCCGGAAAATGTAGGTCTGGCATGATAAATATTTGTGATAGATTGAAAATATGTTTCTCTTCATTGTAAAATTTGAAGCTCCAAAGGGGTGCAACTGGATTTGAGAATGCTTGAAAATAGATGGTCTAAATAATGTGTTACCTACAATTTTGGGATTCAAAATTCTTTTTCTTTTTTTCATTTCCATAACAATTATTGGGGTTGAGATGACCAATTTGAGAGTCTTTGGGGTTGGAAGTTCGTTTTTGGGTTAGGGCTTCACCCTTTAATGTAAATCTTATGCCTTGTAAAGTTTGTGCCTTATACAATCCTTCTTGGTAAAGTTTCACCAAACAAAAAAATAAAAAAAATAAAGGTCTCTAGAAGGAAATTTTATGCTCTTTTGGAACCATCTTTATGATTCAAGGGGAGAAAGGGGTAGTAGAAGTATTTTGCAGGACTGGCGACAAATTACTGATACAAAATTGAGCTGTTGAACATTTTGATTGTCTTTCAAAAAAAAAAGAAATGCGGGCCCCTTAATAAATTTATTTTTAAAATGGATTTTTGGACTTAATTTTTAAGGACATGTAATCTCTAACCTGGAGAACATGAATATGAAAAAATAAATAAAATTAAAAAACTAGAAATAATAATTCTATAAAAAAAACATTTGGATCGGTAGTTTCAATTGTTTTAGATGGATCACCTATTTGCATCCATCTTTAAGATGGATGCTTTATACCTTGGATCCCATATGTAGAAATGCGGTCCAGCCTGCATGAAACAATTTTCCTTATTTCATATAGCCTGTCATTTTGCCCACCAATTGACATCATTATAGGTTTTGAAATTTATTTGATAATCATGAGCATTAGATAGTTCAAATTTTAGAAATATTAAAAAATAGTATAAAAGACAACACAAAATATGATTCAACCAAGTATTGACAGTATTAAAGCAATCATCATCATCAAAACCTTTTCCCAACAATAATTAGAGCAACAATAATTAGAGCAATGTGACCATAAAATAAAGAGAATACAGATCCAGGAGGGTACTAACAATAGTTCTCTAAGGAATTTCCATTATAATGAACTTTTATGAATTAAGACTCTTAGGTACATAATAATGTATCTAAAAGAAGCTTGAAAATCTCTCAACACCATCATCAATCTCATGTTTATTGAATCGATAAATTATAAAAGGAATTATTGAGAAAATTGTGAACATTGTAAATTTACATTTCCATATTATCAATCAATCTAACGTTTTCGAACCAAGCAGCAATGCAGAATACCACAGGGCCTCGAATCTCCTCCACTTCCACCAAGCTTTCTCGGTCCACAATCTACCAAGCACAAGAAGGCATCATCAAGTTTTCAAGATAAAATAACTAAAACATTCACATTTTCCATTATTTTTTAATAATATCACAAAAAGAGTGAAAAGGTTATATGCTCTCCCTGAAGCAAATTGTACACTTGTTTGGGTAGAAACTTACGTAGAAGTACCGTTATTTAGACGAGACTGGATTGGGCGGACAACTGAGTGGTGCCTTGCCTAGTATAATCTAAAGCAAAAACAATAATTGATTAAAAACTGACCAAAACCAACGCTTAACCACTTTTGGTTTGACAAAAAGGGACTTGGTGGTTTTGAACGGTTTAATTTTTTTTTTCTATTCTAAAACTATTTTCATACATTTTTCTACCTTTTTTTTTTTGGGTTTTTTAATTCTAGTCCAACCAATTCAATAGGTAGTCATACCTATTTTCTTTTGACTCTACCAGACCCTTGACTGGTTTGATAGCATGTCAGCTTTTAATAGTACTTCCTAGGAGTAATTTTTGGGACCCAAAATTTTAAGATGTAACCTACTAATCCTAGCAACCAACTTAGAAAAAAGAAGTGGCAGTCAAACCTTTGAAGATTCATTCATGAAGATTGAACACAAAGCGTCCATACTTCAGATGGTCAAAACTATATGTGTAGGAAGCCCATCTGTTTTTATTTTTCATTATTATTATTATTTTTTCTGATGGTTACAACTACATGTCTAGGAAGCCCTAAATGTTTTTTGAACTTAATCTTGTGACTCAAAGTGTTTACCAACATTCAAGTCCAACAAATCTAAGTGGGTGTTTTGTCTAGGGAGCAAATGTACAATTTGCTCAAGCATGGGTAAACTACACGTGTCTCATAAATAAATACAAAGAAAACCTCCAGCGTTATTTTCTTGGATATATTTAAATTCTTTTATGCAAAAAAATGAGGTAATAAAAGAAAGAGGGATTGAAGCCTAGCCTCTGCATAATCAATTCTCCCACCAGCTTCACATATTTCTTGCATGACTGAATCTCTCAGCTGTTTACAAGAGATTTCACCACTTTGAATGGAGGATTTAGCTTTAGAGAGACACCTGTTAATTGATAAGGCCTGCATTATCCCAGAAGAATAACCAAACATCACCAAACACTTTTAAGGGATGATACTCAAAGATTACACTAAATGAATATAGGACATAAATGCACAGAGTTTACGGGAAATAACATCTTTTTATTTGTGTGTGTGTGAGAGAGAGAGCACTAAATTATAGTGATTTGAGGATAGATCAGGCCTGCAACATTGCAGAAGCCTGAAGAACCAGCGTCAATACATAGTATTTCATGAACAGAAGGTTTAAGGGAATGTATCTGGTTCTCTCTCGCTTTCTAAACACGAATGCACAGCCAAGCACACTCAAATTCACAGAGAGAAATATGGTTTGTCTTTAGATGAGTTAGGAAAACTCACTCCAAGATTGTAAAGTAAATTGTAAGTAATGAATGAAATCATGGGTGATGATCACTTCCTACCATACCCTTCATCTCAGACCATTACTGAAGAGTTACTTGATAATTGTAGTAATGCAGAGCTTGTGATAAACTGTGGATGATAAAGTGAAAGAATTAATGGTACATGGAGATGGTCTCTCTCTCTCTCACACACTCACACACACACACACTAGAAAAAGTATAGAGTAGAACCTTTTGCCGTCCATATGCAGAGAGATACACATTGCGTGAGCTCATGGCGAGGCCATCAGCATCACGCACGATCTCGGATCCAATCACTTCTACGGAAAAATCGAGATCTTGAACCTGAGAGAAGCCATCAATTAACAAGAAATCAGATTAATTTAGTTAGTAATTAATATTGCTTGGGTTCCAATCATTGGACTCCCGAAGTTAAAAACAGCAGCAACATTTCTGGCTTCTGGAGGTCTGTCCTTCGAATCTGAGATTCCTTTCTACAAAATATGCGTTTCCATCCACGAGAGTGGACAAGGATCAAATTTTGGCCATACGCCTCTTGGGAAAAAGTATCCCAACCTTTTTCTATAGCCGACAATTTCAGTGTCGTTGGAAATGTAGATCATGGTCGCCTAATTTTAGGAGATCTCTTTTTCGACCATGAGCTTGAAGACTTTAGCTCTTTGGCCAGTAGAATTCAATATGTATTCCTTTCGCCATCTGGAGTCGATTGGATTATCTGGGCACCAACTCCCTCAGGTTTGTTCTCGGTCTCCTCCTATCACACTTCCACCTCCCCCTCCAACTCCTTTGGCCACAGCTGTTCTATGGCCTCAAAAGCTTGGAAGCCCCTAATACCTCCTAGGATCCAGGTGCTATGTTGGATTGCACTACACAGGAGATTATTAAAAGTTGATCAACTTCAAAGGTGAGGATGCAAACGCCCCAATAGATGTTTACTCTGTATGGAGGATGAAGAAACAAACACACATCTTCTACACTGCAACTTCTCTAGAGCAGTATGGAGAGGCAACCTGAAACTGTTCGATTGGACATGGGTCACCCTGAGATCTGTCCCCCACTTATTCCAAGCTACCCTCTTCACTCCTTGTGGCCTAAGGCTGGAAAAATCTTGTGGAAAGCTTTGATCCCATCCACCATTTGGGTATTGTGGATTGAAAGAAATCATATAATTTTTTGGGGAGAGAAATCCACGGCTGAGCAGGGTGGAGAAGGTAAAGAATTCAGTGGCTTTCTGGGCCACCAATCACAAACTATTTATTAACTCTTCCTTCACTGATGTTCACAGTAACTGGTCGAATTTGCCTAACCAAGAGTCTCGAGGGTCTCTATGTGGAATTTGCCTAACCAAGAGTCTCGAGGGTCTCTATGTGGAGACCACATGATAGGGGAGCCTTTAAGCTCAATTTTGATGGTTGCTCCCATGGCAATCCAGGACCCTCAGGCATCGATGGATCTCTTCCGTGCTAGTGATGGGTGCACTCTGTTGTCCTTCTCCCGTCTTATTGGAGTTGCAAACTCCATTCTTGCTGAGGCTCTTGTCCTATTGGAGGGTTATCGCAAGTGTAAAATCTCTTGGAGTCACAACCTAATAGTGGAGGCAGATGCCAAGAATATTATCTCTTGGGCTTCTAATCATTCATTATGGCCGTGGCGTTTTGATGATATCTTTGAGGAAATTTTACATTTAACCAGTGCCTTCAGGATTACCTGGTGCCATGTGTATAGAGAAGCCAACTTAGATGCTGATCGGTTAGCTAAGGAGGGGGCTAGCACCAGCTCTCCTTTGGGGTCTTAGGGTCACCTATCCCTCTACGTCCCTCTTAGTGGGTTTTCCGTTCACACTTTTATTTATTTCATCCCTAATTGGGTATAGAGCTAACATGCGGGGTCACCATACCTCTTGCAATTTTGGTTCTTTTTATGAAATACAATACAGTGAACTTTACTAAAAAAAAATTTAGTTAGCGATGCTAGTGTATGATATCTAATTTTGAAGTTATTAGTACGTTAGTACTAATTATCACAAAAAGGTGAGCCTAGTCTTTGAAGTTAAGAAAGATATCGAAAAAAGAATGGAAAACTATCTTGCTATGGATAGGGCAATGAAAGCACCCAATGGCAAAATAGGGGTGCTTATTAGATTGGGCCAACCTGAAATCCGACGAGTTGACGGTTTGGGACCCTTTTCTAGACCTAATGGATCAGATTTGGTCAAGAAGTGGGGACCCAACATTTCTCGGGCGGTTCCAGGTCAAGGTTGATCCTACCTAACATTTACTTAACATTTAATAAAGAACAATTGTTTCATGCGGGCTGGACCGCATCTCTTCAATACGTGGTCTAGAGGTATAAAGAATCCATCTTTAAGATGAATGCAAATAGGTGGTCCATCTAAAAACAATTTTAACAAATGGGTCAAATGTTTTTTTTAATATAGTTATTATTTCTAGCATTCAAAATTTATTTATTTATTTTCATATTCATGATATATAATGTTCCATATTGTATAGCATATAATTATTATATTATATCAATATAATATGATCATTGTATTATTAGATAATATAATAGAACCTGACCTGGGTAAGGTCCTGTCCCGTGTCGGATTCGGGTAGGGGGGGTTGGGGGAGGGGCGGGTTTGGACTCGGCACGTCCCCGGTATATATTCAGATCTGTTCAACAAGATGCCGACCCACCCAACACCCATAGGTACAAGCATACGGTTACCAGCACTATAAGGATGGCTTCAACTTGATATGTAAACTCTTTCAACTTGACGGCATGTCAATTATCAAAAAACCAAAAACATAGAAGATCTTGTAGGACTTTTATCAAATAATTTGTGCAGTGACATACAAAAATGAGTTTCTATGGCAATAGAGAAATCCACAGACTTGAAAGCAAGTTATATGATCCCCTATTCTTAATTCTTTGAATTCCTCAATCCACAAAAACGTTCGCTTAGTAGAACACATGGATCCTCATGTAAAGCACACATTGAGAGAGGAAGTGCCTGTATATATAGAGAGAAAAACGATATGGCCTTACCATTCTACAGATTATTCGCCATTGTTGATAGTCCTTCTTCCCGAAAACAGCAACATCAGGCTCCACCACATTGAACAACTTGGCCACAACTGTAGCAACACCCCTGAAAAATATAGGCCTACTCTTACCACACAAACCTTTCTCCAATTTCTCGACCCTGATCCATGTCTGGTGCCCCAACTGACCTCTCTCCTCCAAACAAGAACTCAACTCACTTTCTCTCTCTACAGTTACAGATGACCCACCTGATTCAATTTCAATTTTTGGCTCAAACCCACTTTCTCTTTCTACATTTTCAGAAGACCCAGTTTGCCCAGATTCAGAATTTGTCTCATAGAGATTTTCAGGGTGGAAAATCACATTGACCCCAACTTGCTTGAGCTTCAAAAGATCACTATTAAAATCAGAGGGATACCTCGTTAAATCTTCATTAGGGGCGAATTGGCTGGGATTAATATAGATTGAGACAACAATTAAATTGGCATGTTTCTTCGCTTCCTCTACTAGGGAGATGTGGCCTTGGTGCAGATAACCCATTGTTGGAACCAGGGCTATTTTGTGGCCGTTGGATCTCATGGTTCTTGACCATGATCTTATCTGATTCTTGCAGGTAATGATTTCTACTTCAGTTGCCATTGGCGAAAGCTCTTCTCCTTTGTTTGTTACCCTTTTGTGATTGAACTTGAAGTACAAAGGTCCTTTCGGGGCTTTTGGTCTGAATACAAAGACGATAAAGTGGGCCTCCCGTTCACGAAAGGCAACACGATCGTGTCAATTTTAGATACGCCGTGAATACTGGTAGCCAGGAACGGCCCGGCCCGGACCTGAGAGCGCACGGCCGACCGGCCCCCACAGCCTAAGGGTCGGCCTAGGGTAGAACCAGCCGGATTCCACTTGGTCCGGCCTTTTTGGAATTCTTTCTCTTTTTATTTTTCTTGATTATATTTGGCCCAGGGCCAGAGCCCCTTCAACTAGACACTTCATATTTTTCTTGGTAGGCTATGGACCCAAACCCAACCTAGGTTCGGACGACCGAGCTTGACATGGGTTCGAGTATGGATTTGAAAATTGGACCCATTGAATTAGATCTTGATCCACTATTGTACCTGAATACTATTTGGGTCTTGGTCCATGTGGACCCGACATGAACAGTGTTATTATTTAAATAATATTAATTTTTTAATATTTTAATAATATTTAATTAATATTAAATATTTAATATTCAAGATACATGGACATGAGAAAAATATGGATTTAAAGTTTAAGAAATAGTGCATCTAGTAATGCATTTTTGGACCGTTAATTTTCAATATGTTCAAATTTTCATAGATCTGCTCAATCTACAATATTTTTGAAGCTTTAAATTTTATAATTAAAGATGAAAATATATTTTAAAGCTATCAAAAATATTTCCAATATTGAAACCATATTTCTCAACATTATTTGAAGCAAACAAATAGTCATTTTTTAAGGTTGTTGCATCATATTGCTATACCACGGTTGCATGATATCATTGCTCTATATGTATATGGGAAATATTTCTATACTTCTCTTATAGTATAGAAGATCTATGCTTCCCCTACCCTCTCTACCCATCCAATTTTGATCAAGAGAACCACTCACTATTTGATCTTAGATCTAATGTCTCAAAGTGTTTTATTTTTATTTTTCTTTATACAAATTTTATGGATATAAAAATTGGTACGTCCCTTCTTCTCATTGGGACACACCTATAAAAATATTAAAAATAAATTTTTGATAAAATATAATGATCAAAATTCCTCTTGAAACTTTCAGAGATATTTTGGATTATATCTGCCCACGGGCTGGATCAACCAATGGCCCAAATTCAACCTGGCTGATCTGATGGTTACAATCTCATTGAATTTTTATTTTTTTTTCTACAAATCCAAATCACTTGAAATTTTATGCGTTCATTGTTCTCATCAAGACGCACCTAATAAAAATATAAAAAAAATAATTCACAAAATATAAATTGATTAAAATACTCCCAAAATGTAGGCCATAGGTGAAAGTGAACAGTGATGAGGGTTGGCAAAATCACTGTTGATTTTTGCGTATAGGCGTTGGAAAGAATTTTCCTATATATATATATATATATAGGTGTGGGTTCTATAAGGTTACAACCTTAAAAATTCCAATTACGGTGCACCTCTAAATTATATCATAACATGTAATTTGGTAAAAAAAAGTATTAAGATTATCTACAAATCTACTTTATATCTAA